CCCTGACCCCCCCAAAAACCGCCCGGACCCCCTCAAATTGAGCCCCCCTAAGGATCCCGGGACCCCTCCCCAAATCAGAGCCCCCCAACCCCTCCCGGACCCCCCAAAATTCGGACCTGACCCCCAAAATTGAGACCTGACCCCCCAAACCTCACCCTGACCCCCCCAAAAAACCACCCTGACCCCCCAAACTGAGCCCCCCTGAGGCGCCAGAGACCCCTCCCCAAATCAGAGCCCCCAAACCTCACCCTGACCTCCCAAAATTCGGACCTGACCCCCCAAACCTCACCCTGACCCCCCAAACTGAGCCCCCCTGAGGATCCCGGGACCCCTCCCCAAATCAGAGCCCCCCAACCCCTCCCTGACCCCCAAACCCCCCCTGAGCCCCCCAAAAACGCGGACCTGCCCCCCCCAACCCCCCCTGCCCCCCAACCCGCCCCTCCCCCCGCTCCCCCCGCCCCCCGCGCTCCCCATTGGCGCGGTTTCATTAATTAGCGCAGGAACAATCTCTAATTAAGACTTTTGTTCGTTCGCTTGAGCGGGGAGGGGATGGGGGGATTTTTTTGGGAGAAACGGGGGGGGGGGGGGGGGGAAAAGGCAATAAAAAAAGAAATAAAAATCCCGAGTTTAATGAGAGGGAAACGGGAGAAAATTTAAAAAATTTAAAAAAAATTAAAAAGCCCTGGAACCGTTCCCCCCCCGCCCGCTCCGGAGCTGCGGCCTCGTTAGCAGATGTCTTAATGAGACAGCGCTAATTAATGGCATTAACGGCCCCGGGTCGCGGCAGAAGCGCCCCGGGCCCGGGGCCGCGGGGGGAGGAGCGGCACCGCCGTGCCTCAGTTTCCCTTTGGAAATCCAGGGAACCGTGCCTCAGTTTCCCTCTGGAAATCCGCTCCGTGCCTCAGTTTCCCTCTGGAAATCCGCTCCGTGCCTCAGTTTCCCTCTGGAAATTCAGAGCCCAAGGAAATCCAGGGAACCGTGCCTCAGTTTCCCCATGGGAATCCACTCCGTGCCTCAGTTTCCCCCATGGAATACCCTGATCCGCTCCCCTCACCCGTGGCAGGGCCGGGTCGGGACACGGGTGGGGACACGGGTGGGACACGGGGACACCAGGACGGTGGCAGGGACACGGGTGGGGACACGGGTGGGACACGGGGACACCAGGACGGTGGCAGGGCCGGGCCGGGCCAGCTCCGCCCGCCCGGTGGCACCGCGGGGACACCGCCCGGGCCCCGCCCGCCCCCGGCGGGGATTGGGGCTGCGGGCCGCAATTAACCGGGAATTAAGGCTGGAATATTTAATTACGGCGGGATTAGGGGACGGGGATTGCGGCCGAACCGGCTCGGGGACCGCGGGGTGACAAAAGGGCCCGTGGTGACATCGGGGCGGGGGGGACACCGAGGGGGGACCCCCAAAGGGCGCATCCAGCGCGAGGCTGGATCCCCGAACCCCGAAACCCCCGGGATGGATCCCCGAACCCCAACATTTCTGGGATCCCCGAAATTCCCGGGATCCCCGAACCCCGAAATCGCCGAACCCCGAAACCCCCGGGATGGATCCCCGAAATTCCCGGGCTGGATCCCCGAACCCCGAAACCCCCGGGACAGCCCGGAGGCGCCACCCGGCTGGTGACAAGGTCGGGGACAGTTTGGAACCCGGAATTCCTCCCCCAGCTCAGAAAATCCCGGGATTCCGTGACCCCACAGCTGCCCCCGGGCGCTTTTCCAGAGGGAAGAGGCGCCGGGAATCTCCCGGGGCCGGGAATTTGGGGGAGCGGGGAGGGTTTGGGGGGGATGCGCCGCGGGCACCCCCAAAGGCGGGACTGCGCCGGTTTCCCTCCGGAATTCCCATCCCGGCGGTTTCGGGGTGGAATTTCGGGGAGCCGGGACGCGGCGGGGGCTCCGTGTCCCCGCCCGGGCCGAGCTGGAATCCCAAATTCCGCATCCCAAAATAGTTCCCGGCGCGGCGGGGGCGGCGCGGGTGTGCCAGGGCCGATCTCGTCTGCGAGCCCGAGCGGCGCGGCCGGCGCGGGGCGGATTCCCGGGAAACGGGGCCGGGATTCCCGGGAAACGGGGCCGGGATTCCCGGGAAAACGGGGCTGGAATTCCCGGGAAAACGGGGTTGGAAATCCTGGGAAAACGGGGCTGGAATTCCCGGGAAAACGGGGCCGGAATTCCTGGGAAAACGGGGCTGGAATTCCTGGGGAAACAGGGCCGGGATTCTCGGGAAAATGGGGTTGGAAATCCTGGGAAAACTGGGCTGGAAATCCTGGGGAAACAGGGCTGGAATTCCTGGGAAAACGGGGCTGGAATTCCTGGGAAAACGGGGACAGAATTCCTGGGAAAACGGGATTGATCCCTGCTAAAATGGGATCCCAAATCCCGGCCTATGGGGGCCAGAGTTACCGAGAATTCCCGGGAAAATGGGAAGGGACCGATCCCCGGCAGGGTGGGACCCCAAATCCCCAGCAGGATGGGACCCCCCCCCACTCCCAGCCCTGCTGGGGTCCCCGGCTCGGGACCCCTCCCCATCCCATCCCATAAATCCCATAAATCCCATCCCATTGATCCCATCCCATAAATCCCATGGATCCCACTGATTCCATCCCATCCCATGGACGCCATGGACCCCACCGATCCCATCCCATAAATCCCGTACATCCCATCCCATGGACCCCATAAATCCCACGGATCCCACTGATCCCGCCCCATCCCCTCTCTGTCCCCGCCCCGCGGTGCCACCCCCGGAGGTGCCCCCGGTGTCCCCTGGGGACACGAGGGGACATGAGGGGACAGCGGTGACACGAGGGGACATGAGGGGACATGGGGGGGACACGAGGGGACACGAGGGGAGGAGACACGAGGGGACAGCGGCGACACCCGCAGCAGCCCCGGGGCCTCTTCCCTTCCCCTCTGCAAGAATCCCAAATCCTTTCTTCCCCGCAGAAAAGGGGGGAAAAAAGGGATTTTTTATTTCATGATTTGATGTTTTCAGCGCTCTCCTCCCTCCGAGCCCGTTTCGGGTTTGGGTTGGGTTGGGGATTTTATTTTTAATTTTTTGTTGTTGTTTCACATAAAAATAGCAGCGGAGAAGTCGGGAAGGGAAGAGGGGAAAGGGTTCGGGTGGAGAAGGAGAGAGGAGGGAGGGAGCAAATGAGGAGGGGGGAATGGGAATAAAGGGGGGAATGGGGAAAAATGGGGGGAAATGGGAAAAAATGGGAAAAATACAGGGGGAAAAGGGGGAGGAAAAGGGAGGGAAATGCAGAGAAGCGAAGCTGAGGTGGGGGGAGGGAGGAGGGAGAGATGAAATAAGGAGGGGGAAAATGGGGAAAAAAGGGGGAAAACAGGGGAAAATGGGGAGAAAAAAGGGGAAAAACGGGGAAAAGGGGGAGGAAAAGGAGGAGAGCCGAGAAGCGAAGGCGCCGCGCGGAGCTCCGGTTCCAACCCGAGCTGCCAGCGCCGGACACGGGGACACGCGGGGACACGCGGGGACACGGGGGGACACGGGGGGACACGGAGAGCTCCATCAGGGAGCTCTGCCCAGTTTGGGGACATTGCCGTGGGGACAGCGCGGTCTGGGGACATTCCGTGGTGGCTCTGGGGACAGGGGACATTGCCGTGCGGGGTTTGGGGACATTGCCATGGTGGCTGTGGGGACAGGGGACATTGCCGTGGTGGCTCTGGGGACAGGGGGACATTCCGTGGTGGCTCTGGGGACAGGGGACATTGCCGTGGGGATACGGGGACATTGCCATGGTGGCTCTGGGGACAGGGGGACATTGCCGTGCCGGGTTTGGGGACATTCCGTGGTGGCTCTGGGGACAGGGGACATTGCCATGCCGGGTTTGGGGACATTGCCGCGGGCACAGGCACGCGCTGCCACGCGGGAGGGGACCGTGGTGACAAAGCGGGGGGTGGCACAGCGGCCCGTGGCGACAAGGAGGGACACGGCAGCGAGGCGCCACCTCGCGCCTGTCCCCGCGGGGCCACCGCTGCCACCTCGGCCGCGCGACAAAAACCTCGCTGTCACCGCCACCGGCGCGGCCACCGCCCGGCGACAGCGCGGGGGTGGCACCGCCACGTCCCCCCCCGCCCGAGGCACCGCGACAGTGGCAGGAGGTGGCTCCGGCTGTGACAAGCGCCACCAGCCCCAGGCGGCGGCTTGTCACCGCGGCTGGCGCGGGGAGGTGGCACTGGGGGTGGCACTGGGGGTGGCACTGGGGGTGGCACTGGGGGGTGACATTGGGGGTGGCACTGGGGAGTGGCACTGGGGGGTGGCACTGGTGATCCCATCCCGGGGTTACCATTCCCGTGCCGTTCCCGTGCCATTCCTGTGCCATTCCTGTGCCATTCCCGTGCCGTTCCGTGCCGTTTCCGTGAATATTTATCGCCGTTATTCCAGAATTAAAGCCCGGGCTGGGAGCGGGGGTCGCGCTGCCCCTTCCCCGTCCCTCCCCCTGTCCCTGTCCCTGTCCCGGTCACGGTCACGTCCCGCTCGATCCCCGCGGGCCGCGTGACGCCGGAGCGGGGCCGGCATCGATCCCCAACCGGCACCGATCGATCCCCAACCGGCACCGATCGATCCCGGGGGCCGGCGGCGGCAGCGGCGGGGCCGGGCTGGGGCGGCTCCGGGGGTCCCCGGGAGCTCCGGGGGGATCCCGGGGGGATCCAGGGCAGATCCCGGGGTCACAGGGGATCTTGGGGGGGTCTTAGGGGGTCTCAGGGGATCCCGGGGGATCTCGGGGGGGTCTCAGGGGGATCTCGGGGGGGCTCAGGGGATCCCGGGGATCTCAGGGGGTCTCAGAGAAACCCGGGGGTCTCAGGGAATCTCGGGGGGATCCCAGAGGATCTCAGGGGGTCACAGGGGGATCTCAGGGGATCCCAGAGGATCTCAGGGGGGTCTCAGGGGTCTCAGGAGGATCTCAGGGGATCCCCGGGATGGCGGGGCCCGCCGAGCCGCGGTGCCGGGCGCGGGGCGGTGACCGCGGGCTGTGGCCGCAGCGGTGCAGACGCGCTTCGTGGAGGAGCCCGAGGACCGGACGGTGGTGGCCGGGCAGAGAATCGTCCTGTCCTGCGTGGTGCTCAACTACTCCGGCATCGTGCAATGGACCAAGGACGGGCTGGCCCTGGGCATGGGCCAGGGCCTCAAAGGTGCCCCCGGGGCCGGGGGTGCAGTGGGGACGGGGGTTTGGGGGGGACACCGGTGGGGACGGGTGGCTTTGGGGGTGACACCGCTGGGGACAGGTGGCTTTGGGGGGGACACGGGGCGGGGATGGGTGGCGTTGGGGGTGACACCCACAGGGCAGGGCCTGAAAGGCACCCGGGAAAGGGAGGGTGGCCCTGGGGGTGTCCCCGTGTGACTTCCCAGTGTTGTACCCACAGCCTGGGCGTGGGATTGGGGTGTCCCTGTGGGTTTGGGGTGTCCCTATGGGACTGTGGTTTCCCTGTGGGATTGGGGTGTCCCCATGTGTGACCCGTGGGTTTGGGGTGTCCCTGTGGGACTGGGATGTCCCTGTGGGATCGGGGTGTCCCTGTGGGATTGGGGTGTCCCCATGTGTGACCCATGCGATTGGGGTGTCCCCGTGGGGCGGGGCTGTCCCGGTGACCCCGCGTGTCCCCGTGGGGCTGTCCCCATGACCCCGTGTGTCCCCATGACCCCGCGTGTCCCCGTGGGGCTGTCCCGGTGACCCCGCGTGTCCCCATGGGGCTGTCCCCGTGACCCCGCGTGTCCCCGTGGGTTTGGGGTGTCCCCGTGACCCCGCGTGTCCCCGCAGCGTGGCCGCGGTACCGCATCGTGGGCACGGCGGACTCGGGCCAGTACAACCTGGAGATCCGCGACGCCGAACTCTCCGATGACGCCGTCTACGAGTGCCAGGCCACCGAGGCCGCGCTGCGCTCGCGCCGCGCCAAGCTCACCGTGCTCAGTGAGCCTGCCCCGCTGGCCCCGGTGCCCCACACGGTGCCCCACTGGTCCTGGTGCCCCACATAGTGCCCCACACAGTGCTCCGCTGGTCCTGGTGCCCCATTGTCCCCGGTGCCCCACATAGTGCCACACTGTTCCTGGTGCCCCACATAGTGCCCCGCTGGCCCCGGTGACCCACAAAGTCCCGTGTGCCCCATGTCCCACCCCTGTGTCCTCCAGGGCTTCTTATGTCCCCTCACCATTCCCAGTGCCCCACACAGTCCCCGGTGCCCCACATGGTGCCCAGTGCCCCACACGGTCCCACGTCCCCTTCGTCCCCCATGTCCCACCCCTGTGTCCTTCAGGGCCTCTCATGTCCCCTCACCGTTCCCAGTGCCCCACACCTTCCCCGGTGCCCCACACCTTCCCCGGTGCCCCACACGCTCCCCGGTGTCCCCTCCCCATTCCCGGTGTCCCCTCCCCGCCACCAGGACATCCCCCCGAGCCGGTGTCCCCTCTGTCCCCCCGCAGTCCCCCCGGAGGACCCCACCATCGACGGCGCCCCCGAGATCCTGCTGCGGGCAGGGACCCCCTACAACCTGACGTGCCGCGCGCGCAGCGCCAAACCCGCGGCCACCATCGCCTGGTTCCGCGACGGGCTGCAGCAGGACGGCGCTGTCACCAGCACGGTACGGCCGTGCCCTCCACGTCCCCGTGCTGCCACCCTGTCCCTGTGCCCGCTGCCACCACCCTGTCCCTGTGCCCGCTGCCACCACCCCATGCTGCCCCTCTGCCACCACCCTGTCCCTGTGCCCACTGCCACCACCCTGTCCCTGTGCCCGCTGCCACCACCCTGTCCCTGTGCCTGCTGCCACCACCCTGTCCCTGTGCCCGCTGCCACCACCCTGTCCCTGTGCCCGCTGCCACCACCCCGTGCTGTCCCTGTGCCCGCTGCCACCACCCCTGTCCCTGTGCCCGCTGCCACCCTGTCCCCGTGCCCTCTGCCACCACCCCTGTCCCTGTGCCCACTGCCACCACCCTGTGCTGTCCCTGTGCCCGCTGCCACCCTGTCCCTGTGCCCGCTGCCACCACCCCGTGCTGTCCCCACTGTCCCATGACAGGCTGTGGCAGGCTGGCACCCTGGCTGTCCCCCTCGGTGTCCCCAGCGCTCTGCTGGGGCTGTCCCTGTGTCCCCCTGCCCGCTGGGGGTTCCACGCCAGGCCCCAGCAGGACACCAGCACGGGGTGGGGACACTGCAGTGCGGTGGCCGGCCCCTCTTGGTGTCCCCTGTGGGTGTCCCCAGCCCCGCTGGAGCTGTCCCCTCCCATGTCCCCTCCCGTGTCCCCTGCGCAGGAGCTGCTGGCCGATGGCAAGCGCGAGAGCACCACCAGCCTGCTGGCCATCAACCCCACGGACCTGGACATCGGCCGCGTCTTCTCCTGCCGCAGCTCCAACGAGGCCGTGCCGGCCGGCAAGGAGACCTTCGTCAGGCTGAACGTGCACCGTCAGTGGGGATGGGGACAGGGACACGGGGACAGGGACAGGGACAGGGGACATGGGAGACCTTCGTCAGGCTGAACGTGCACCGTCAGTGGGGACAGGGACAGGGGACATGGGGACAGGGACATGGGACATGGGGACAGGGACACGGGGACATGGGAGACCTTCGTCAGGCTGAACGTGCACCGTCAGTGGGGACATGGGGACACGGGGACATGGGACAGGGACAGGGACACAGGACAGGGACAGGGGACATGGGAGACCTTCGTCAGGCTGAACGTGCACCGTCAGTGGGGACAGGGACATGGGGACATGGGACAGGGACAGGGACACAGGACAGGGACAGGGGACATGGGAGACCTTCGTCAGGCTGAACGTGCACCGTCAGTGGGGACAGGGACACGGGGACAGGGACACAAGACAGGGACAGGGGACATGGGACACAGGACATGGGGACACTGTGACACAGGGACACCAGGGGTGGATGGAGATTTTGGGGGGATTTTTGGGGTGCCGCAGGGGGGATTTGCTGGAGGGGGTGGAGGAGGGGGAAGGGGAGGAAGAGGAGGAGGAGGCAGGGCCGGGACTCCGCTGGCTGCTGCGGGAAGGGGCGGCCACCACCAGAGGGGACAGCGGGTGACAGCCCCGGGGGGACGAAGGCTCCCCACAAGGACAGGGGCGGGCGCTGCCCCACCCCAGAGCTTTGGGGACCCCTCTGTGTCCCCCCCGCGCCCCCCTGAGCCCGGCCGGTCCCCGCAGATCCCCCGACGGTCACCCTGTCCATCCAGCCGCAGACGGTGCAGGAGGGCGAGAGGGTCGTGTTCACCTGCATGGCCACGGCCAACCCCGAGATCAAGGGCTACAGGTGAGCCCCACACCGCCGGGACGGTGCCAGGGCCACCCGGGGTCACCTGGGGTCACCTGGGGCCACCCGGGGTCACCTGGGGCCACCTGGGGTCACCCAGTGTCCCCCCATGGCTCTGCGTCCCCTCCCTGCCCCAAAACACCTGGAATTGGAAACTGGGATTGGGAATTGGGATTGGGGTCAAATGTCCCCACCTTGGCTCTGCGTCCCCTCCCCATCCCAAAACCCCCAAAACTGGGGTTGGGGTCACCTGGGACCACCCAATGTCCCCCCATGGCTCTGCGACCCCTCCCCACCCCAAACCCCCTGGGACTGGGAATTGGGATTGGGAATTGGGATGGGGAATTGGGATTGGGAATTTGGAATTGAGAATTGGGATTGGGACTGGGGTCAGAAGTCCCCACCATGCCTCTGTGTCCCCTCCCCAAAACGCCCTGGAAATGGCAATGGGGATCGGGATTTGGGGTCAGGATTGGGAATTAGGGTGGGGATCGGGATTCAGGATGGGGGCCGGGGTCCCACGGTGTCCCCGGCTGTCCCCAGGTGGGCCAAAGGGGGGGTGATCATCGAGGAGGCCAAGGAGAACAGGTACGACACGCAGGTGGACTACACCTTCTTCACTGAGCCCGTGTCCTGCGAGGTGCACAACGACATCGGCAGCACCAACGTCAGCACCCTGGTGGACGTGCACTGTGAGTGACCCCAAAACCGGCCCCAAACCCCCAAAACCGGCCCCAAAACCAGCCCCAAACCCCCAAAACTGGCCCCAAACCCCTTCCCTGACCCCAAACCCCTTCCCTGACCCCGAGCCCCCTCCCCACACCCCGCTCCTCGGGTTTCCCCGCAGTCGCCCCCCGGATCGTGGTGGACCCCAAGCCCACGGTGACCGACATCGGCTCCGACGTCACCCTGACCTGCGTGTGGTCGGGGAACCCCCCACTCACCCTCACCTGGACCAAGAAGGAATCCAACATGGTAGGACCCCGTTCCCGGGGCTTCCGGAATGTTCCCCTCCCGTCGGGATCAGGGGCACTCCGCGTGTCCCGAAACCCCCCAAAAAATCCCAGAGAAATCCACAAAACTATCCCAAAAGAAATCCCAAAAGAAATCCCAAAAGAAATCCCAAAAGAAATCCCGGATTGGGATTGGGGTTGGGATTCAGGATTGGGGTTGGGATGGGGATGGGGGATTGGGGATTGGGGTTGGGGTTGGGGTTGGGGTTGGGATTCGGGATTTGGATTGGGGTTGGGATTGAGATTCAGGATTGGTGTTGGGATTGGGTTGGGATTGGGTTGGGATTGGGGACTGGGGATTGGGGTTGGGGTTGGGGTTGGGATTTGGGATTGGGGCTCAGTCTGGGATTGGGATTCGGGATTTGCACTGGGGTTCAGTTTGGGATTGGGGTCAAACGTGACCCCGGAATCTCCCCACCGTTCCTCCGTGCCCCCTCCACACCCCAAATCCCCCCAAAGCAGCGCCTGGGACTGGGATTCCCACGGGGAGGACTCGGGGCGGGCTGCCGAGCTCGGGGGGCGTCCCGCGCCCCCTCCGGGGTGTCCCCAATGTCCCCGGGTGTCCCCAATGTCCCCCGGTGTCCCCAATGTCCCCCGTGTCCCCGCAGGTCCTGAGCAACAGCAACCAGCTGTACCTCAAGTCGGTGACGCAGGCCGACGCCGGCCAGTACGTCTGCAAGGCCATCGTGCCCCGGATCGGCGTGGGCGAGAGGGAGGTCACCCTCTTCGTCAACGGTCAGCGCCCCAAAAACCCCAAATCACCCCAAAAACCTCCCGGGGCTCCCTGGGAACGGGGCGCTGCCCCGCCGTTCCCGCTCCTCCGCCGTTTTGGGGGAAGAGGAGGCGGTTTTGGGGATTGAACGGCTCGGATGGCGGCAGGAGGAAAACGGAATTTGGGGTTTTTTGTTGGGTTTGGAACTGAGGATAAAGGGAAAGGCCACAACGGGATGATGGGAAGGGGATAAATCTCAAAAAGAGACTTTCCACGCCATCCCTCCCTCCGGGGAGACGGGAATTCTGGGAATTCCCACCTGGAGCTTCCCGTGGGAGGTTCCCCTAATTCCAGGCAAAACAGGGAATTTTATCACCCTGAAACCCCCGATCCCAAGCTGTTCCCCCAAATCCAGCCAAAACAGGGAATTTTATCCCTCTAAACCCTCTTATCTTGAGCTGTTCCCCCAATTCCAGCCAAAACAGGGAATTTTTTCCTCAAATCCTTCATTCCTGGCCCGACCTGGGCACAGCTCTGGGAATTTCCTCCACCCGTTTCCCTCCCAAACCACCCCAAATTCCCTCCTGGACCACACCAAATTCCTTCCTGGAGGACCCCAAATTCCCAGTTTTCCCCCCGAACCACCCCAAATTCCCGATTTCCCCAGAACCCCCCAATTTCCGTCTCCCCGCAGGCCCCCCGATCATCTCCAGCGAGCCGGTGCAGTTCGCCGTGCGCGGCGACCGTGGCAAGGTCGAGTGTTTCATCGGCAGCACGCCGCCGCCCGACCGCATCGTGAGTCCCCAACCGAAACCGCGGTCGTTTTGATTTTAAAATTCTTTTTTTTTAATTAAAAAATTTAAAACTCAATTGAAAAAGTACACATTTTAATTTAAAAGTTAAAATCTAGATTAAAAATATAAAAATTAAAAATTAAAAATTAAAAATTAAACATTAAAAATAAAACAAAATAATAAAAATAATATACAATGAAATAATAAATAAACGATAAAATTATAGAAATATACTAACAACAATAACTGTACCAATACCAAAACAATCCAACCCAGCGAGCGCCAGGGAGCCCAGAATCATTAATTATTCATGCAAGGCCCCGCCCCCGCAGGCCTGGGCGTGGCAGGAGAACATTCTGGAAGCCGGCACGCTGGAGCGCTACACGGTGGAGAGGAGCAACACGGGCAGCGGCGTCCTGTCCACGCTGACCATCAACAACGTGGTGGACGCCGACTTCCAGACGCGCTACAACTGCACGGCCTGGAACAGCTTCGGGCCCGGCACGGCCATCATCCAGCTGGAGGAGAAAGGTGACACCAACACGGAGCTTGGGGACAATCTGGGGTGACAGGGAATGGCCTCGAGTTGGGTCAGGTTGGGACATTTGGGGCCCAGCACGGCCATCGTCCAGCTGGAGGAGAAAGGTGACAATGGAAGGGAACTTGGGGACGGTTTGGATGGCCTTGAGTTGGGTCATGTTGGGACACTGAGCACGGCCACCAGCCAGCTGGAGGAGAAAGGTGACACGGGACAGAGCCTGGGGAGAGTTTAGGTGGCCTCAAGCTGGAAGTTTGCAGGAATTCCTCTGGGAAGGGCACTCAGGCCTCAGAAGGGGTTGGGTTCTCCATCCCCGGAGTGTCCAAGGAATTCCCGGAATTCCGGGCAACCAGCTGGGGACAGGTCCTCTCTTGGTGACCCCACAAACCTCGGAGCCGCGTTACGGGGTGCCAGGACGAGGGCCCCGGTGCCGGCCTCGTCCCCAGCTCCCGTGTCCCCGCAGAGGTCCTGCCCGTGGGCATCATCGCCGGGGCCACCATCGGCGCCAGCGTCCTCCTCATCTGCTGCCTGGCGGCCCTCGCCTGCTTCCTCTACCGGCGCCGCAAAGGAAGTGAGTGAGGGAGGCGGCACCGCGGCGGCCTGGCGGTCACTCTGCGGCCACTCCGGGGGTCTCTGGGGGTCACTTCATGGTCACTCAATGGTCACCTTTTGGGTGTCTCTGTGGGGGTCACTTCATGGTCACTCTGCGGCCACTCTGGGGGTCTCTGTGGGGGTCACTTCATGGTCACTCAGTGGTCACTCCATGCTCACTCTGTGGTCACTCTGCGGTCACTCTGGGGGTCTCTCTGGGGGTCACTTCATGGTCACTCTGTGTTCACTCAGTGGTCACTCTGCTCACTCAGTCTTCACTCCGTGCTCACTCTGTGGTCACTCAGGGGTCACTCTAGGGGTCTCTATGGGGGTCACTCAGTGGTCACTCGGTGGTCACTCTGTGGTCGCCTGGCAGGCCGCAAGGACGTCACGCTGCGCAAGTTGGACATCAAGGTGGAGACGGTCAACCGGGAGCCGCTGACGCTGCACGCGGACAGGGAGGAGGACACGGCCAGCGTGTCCACGGCCACCCGCGTCATGAAGGCCATCTACTCGGTGAGGGACAGCGGGGACAGCGGCCGGGGGGCTGGCCAGGGAATTGTCACCTGGGATGGGACCTGGCCAGGGAATTGTCACCTGGGATGGCCGGGATGGGACCTGGCCAGGGAATTGTCACCTGGGATGGCCGGGAGGGGACCTGGCCAGGGAATTGTCACCTGGGATGGCCGGGAGCTGCTGGCAGAGGTTGTCCCCAGCCCTGGGAGGGTCCCCAGGGACTGGCTGGAGGCACCTGGGATGGTGGGAACGTCCCTGTCCTCGGATCTTTGGGGGTTTTCCCATCCCAAGGAATTCCAGCATTCCCTGGGCGGGCTTAATGGGATTTTAGGGATTGCTCCTGGGCCCGTCCCTGATCCCACAGATTCCCCATCCCTGGAAGCGCCCAACTCCACCTTGGGTCCACCTGGGCTAGCGGGAGCTGCCCCTTCCCACCATGGGATGGCTCTCAAGGGTCCTCCCCGCCCATCCCATTCCGTAACTCCATAATTCTATAACTCTTCCATAACTCTGTAATTCCATAACTCTGTAATTCCCTAACTCCATAACTCCATAATTCCATAATCCCACGGATTTTGCAGTCGTTCAAGGACGACGTGGACCTGAAGCAGGACCTGCGCTGCGACACCATCGACACCCGCGAGGAGTACGAGCTCAAGGTCCGGTCCCGCCGGGATTTTAGGGTGGGAAAAGAGGGGCAGATCCTGAATTTTTCTTTTTCCCCCTGGAATGGGTGGAAAACTCCTGGGATTTCAGGCGTGGGGAGCTGGAATTGTTGGGATGGAGGGGAAATTTTAGAAACATGCAGCTCAGATCTCCAGGACTGGGGACGAGATAGCAGGAACGGATAGAGATGTTCCGGGGAGGGATTTGGGATGGATTTAGGGAAAAAAGCGCGGTTGGGCTCTGGAGCAGCTCCCAGGGGAATGGGCACGGCCCCAAAAATTCCGGGAGCATTTGGACAAGGCTCTCAAGGGACGGGGTGGGACTTTGGACTTGGATGGTCTTGGTGTGTCCGTTCCAACCTCGATATTCCGGAATTCCAAGAGATACGAAGTTCCACGAAATCCAGCCCTGCCCTAGTGCCGTCTCCCAGGAAATCCCAAAGGATTCCCAAGGAATCCCAAGGAATTCCCACCCTCCATTCCCGCCCTCCCACGCCCCTCCACAGCCTCTCCCAATGCCAACCCCAGAATTCCCAAAACTCGCCGGATTTCCCCCCCGTCTCTTTCCCAGGACCCCACCAACGGCTACTACAACGTCCGCGCCCACGAGGACCGGCCGGCCTCGCGCTCCGTCCTCTACGGCGACTACCGCGCGCCGGGCCCCGGCCGCTTCGAGGCGCGGCCGCCGTCGCGGCTCTCGCACTCCAGCGGCTACGCCCAGCTCAGCTCCTACCCCCGCGGCGGCCCCGAGTTCCCGCCCGAGGCCGCGGCGGCCGCGGGGACGGCGGTGGGGGACACGGCCAGCCAGCTGTCCTACGAGAACTACGCGGGCGGCGGCGGCGCCTTCCCGGGCGGCACCGCGTACCCGCCGTACCGGCTGGGCTTCGGCGCCGCCGCCGCCGCGGGGCTGGAGCGCGGCGCCTACGAGGCCTACGACGTCGTGGGCAAGTTCGGCGGCGCCACGCGGTTCTCGTACACCTCGCAGCACTCGGACTACGGGCAGCGCTTCCAGCAGCGCATGCAGACGCACGTTTAGGGCGGGGAGGGCTCCGCGGGTACCTCACGAGCGTCCCCTGATATTCAGGGGTTCGCCCCGATCCCCCCGATCCCCCGACCTCTCCTTGGAGCTTCCGTTCGTTCCCTCGGTTCTCTCGCCGGTACGTTCCCGTCCCCGCGGGCGCAGGGAGGGCTCGGCGCCGTGCTCGTCGTCCCCTCCGCGCCGCCCACGGGGTTTGAGCCCCCGTCGCCGTTCCCGGAGCTTTCCCAGGAGCAGCTCTGCGTGTCCCCAGATCCAGAGGGGCGTGCAGACCCCAAAACCAGCCCCAGCCTGGACCATTCCAATTCCTCAAACCATTCCTCAAACCATTCCCCAAACCATTCTCATTGGGATCTGTGTGCTCCCAAATCCAGAGGGACACACAAATCCCAAAACCAGCCCCATCCCAAACCACTCACACTCCTCAAACCATTCCCATTGGGATCCACGTGTTCCCAAATCCAGAGGGACGCACAAATCCCAGAAAAAAACCATCCCGAACCATTCCCATTCCTCAAAGCATTCCCACTGGGATCAGCAGGAGGGTTCTGCATGTCCCTAAATCCAGAGGGAACACATAAATCCCCAAAATAACCCCATCCTGAACCATTCCGTTCCCATTCCCATTGGGATCGGTGGGAGGGGTCTGTGTGTCCCTAAATCCAGAGTGACGTGCCAATCCCAGAACCAGCCCCATCCCAAACCATTCCCATTCCTCAGAGCATTCCCACTGGGATCAGCAAGAGGGTTCTGTGTGTTTCCAAATCCAGAGGGAATGCACAAATCCCAGAACCAGCCCCATCCCAAACCATTCCCGTTGGGATCTGCGTATTCCCAAATCCAGAGGGATGTGCAAATCCCAGAACCAGCCCCATCCCGAACCATTCCCATTGGGATCTGCGTATTCCCAAATCCCAGAACCAGCCCCATCCCGAACCATTCCCATTCCCTGTGCCTTGATTTTGGGGCGCCCCTCGCTCGGGGCCGGCTCCCCCCGTTTTCCCTCGGCCCAGGATCACCGGGATTTGGGGTTTTCGGAGCCGCCCCGTACGCACAGCGATCCCTCGGGAAAGGCAGCGCGGGATCCCAGAGCTGGGATCGGGGTCCCTCCTGAATGTAATTCCAGCCGGGAACCGCGTTCCCGGGAATTCCGGGAATTCCGACCAAAACATTGGGATCGGGAGCTCAGCCCTGCCCCGAATCCCAGTTCCGGGCACCGGGGGGAACCGGGGACCCCAGCGTGGGGTGGGGGAATTTGGGGGATGAGTTTTGGGGGGAATTCCCAGCCCCAATTCCCAAATTTCCAAAGGGGTCCCAGTTTGGGATGGAGGAATTTTGGGGGGTGAAGTTCGGGGGGTGAAGTCTGGGGGGATGAATTTTGGAGGGAATTCCCAGCCCCAGTTCCCAAATTCCTAAAGGGTTCCCAATTCGGGATGGGGGAATTTGGAGAGGATGAATTTTGGGAGGATGAATTTTGGGGGGGAATTCCCGGCCCCAATTCAGGATGGGGGAATCTGGGGAGGGTGAATTTTGGGGGGATTAATTTTGGGGGGATGAATTCCTCGTTGATTCCCAAAAAAACCCCTCAAGGATTAGGTACGAGACCCCTCCCCACCCCTCTGGGGGCTGCCCTGGGATCAGGATCTTCCCCAAAATCCCCCAAATTCCCGAATCCCCCATGGCCAATCCCGGTACGAGCCGTGGAACCTCATTTCCCTCTGCCGAAATCCCCCAAAAACAACAAAAGAAGGTCCCGAAAGGCCCAAAGGTGCCTGAATTCACCCTGAAAGCCCCGAGTGGGGAGGGAATTCCCGCTCCAGGTGCTGCACCCCGAATTCCAGAGCAATATCCCACGGGAAAAGGGGGAGCCCCACCCGGCCACGGGAAGCTTTAACATTCCAACCCCACTTTGGGGCTGGAAAATGGAATTTTCCCCTTTTTGTTTTTTAGCACAGGTTCGTTTAGAGACCCTCCCCCGTCCCTTTCCCCCCAAAATTCCGCGATTTCTCCCCAATTTTTTTTTTATGTTGCATTTTCTTTTTTTTTTTTAAATATTCTGTACTATATTTTTAGTCTTAAACACGATATATTATATATATTTAATTTTTTTATATATATATATATATAAATATAAATGGTTAAAAAAAGAAATTAAAGCGTCTCCGAGTTTTCCTTTTAATTTTTTGGGGGATTTTTACCTAAAGAAGGGGGATTTTTGTCATTCCTCGATAGTTTTTCTGGGAGAATTGAGGCATGGATGGAGGGAGGGAGGAATATTTTCCTTTTCCAACCATAATTCCCACAATTCCAGCATCCCCAAATCCCTGGATGGGTTTTGGTGGCAACCACATTTCCAAAAAAACGGATTTCCATTTATTCCAGGGATTTATCTGATTTATTCCTGCCTTTATCCCGATTTATTCCCCGGGAATTTTCACCACAAATCCCTCGCCTCATCCTTCTTCACGCTTCCTTTTATACAAAAACGGTTTTAATCCAAAAATTAAATCAGGATTCCCTCACGGAATCCGGAATTTGGCTTTTAGAAGGAAAATTCCCACTTTTTTTCCCCCATCCCGCTGGAATTTCACCTTCCAGCCCTTCAATTCCCCGGCTTGGAGACAAATTAATTAATCCTCCTCAAGCGGCGAGCTGCTGGAAGAGGAAAAGAAGGAATCGGGCGGGATTTGTCCCGGATTTTATATAAAAAAATGGAAAAGCGGGATGCACCGTGCCTCAGTTTCCCCCGGCCGCCCACGGCTCTTCAGGGCCAGCCACCCCCGAGGCCGGGGACAGTGAAACGGGCACAGCGGGACAGGGGCACAGTGGGGCCGTTCCAAGGAGGAACTGCCGAATTCCCGGAGTGAATTCCCGGAATTTGTCCCCTCTCCCCTCACAAACTCCGCCATGACGGGGCCTGGCCGGCCGCGCAGCGCAGCATCCCCCCCCCACCGCGCCCGCCCCCGGCTGGGCGGGCTCTGAGCGCCGCGGCCCTCAGGCGGGGGTATTTATAACCTCGGGAATACCGCCGATCTCGCGAGACTTGCCCTCCCGCCATCGCTTCGTGGGCGTGGCTCCATCCCGTGACGTCATTGGGGGTTTTGGGGTCCCGAGGGGATTTGGGGCCGGGAGTGACCAAAAAACCCAAAATTTCCCTTTTTTCCCCCTATTGGGACCCCCCGCGTGCGGCCCCAGCAGCGCCGCGGCCTCGGAGAGCAGCCCCAGGGCCCCGGGGGGGTTTGGGGAGTCCCAGGCGGGGCTTTGAGGGTCCCCCCAAATTCTGTGGGGTTTGGGGGTGTCCCCCCTTCCCCGGGGTTTGGGGGCCACTCCTGGTTCTGGGTTCCAATCGCTAAATTTGGGGTCCTCATCCCTAAATATGGGGTCCCCATTCTTGGATTTGGGGTTCCCATTCCTGGATTTGGGATCCCCATCCCTAAATTTGGGGTCCCCATTCCCTGGGTTGGGATTCCCAAACTCTGCATTTTGGGTCCCAAACCCTGGATTTCTGGTCCCTGGATTTGGGGTCCCAAACTCTGGATTTGGGGTTCCCAAACTCTGGATTTGGGGTTCCCATTCCTTCGATTTTGGGTCCCAAACCCTGGATTTGGGTTCACTAAAAATCCCTTAAAATTCCTGAAAACACCTGAAAATTCCCAAAAATCCCTGAAAATTCCCTAAAATCCCTTAGAATTCCTGAAAATGCCTGAAAATTCCCTAGAATCTCTTAAGATCCCTTAGAATTCTTTAAAATGCCTTAAAATTCACTGAGATCCCTTAAAATCCCCTACGATCCCCTAGAATTCCCGAACATTCCTGAAAATCCCTTAAAATTCTTTAAAATGTCTTAAAACTAAGAAGTGGAAATTCCTGAAAATCCCTGAAAATTCCTGAAAGTCCCTGAAAATTCCTGAAAATCCCTGAAAATCCCTGAAAATTCCTGAAAATCCCCTAATTTCCACACCCACATCCCGGGCCACCGGCACTCTCCCTGCCCATGGAATTGCAGCTCCTTCCCAAATTATTCCAGGATTCCCTAAAAATCCGGGATGCTCCTGGCCCTGGCCGTGCGCTTTTCCCTGGATTCTTTTCTGTTTTCCCTGTTTTTCCCGGCTCTGATCCCGATAAAATCGCCAAAAAAATCCCCATTCCCAATTTCCTGCGTCCTTCCACTTCAGGATCCCTGCAATTCTTTGGGAATAATTTCAATTTTCCTTCCAGGAATTCTCCGCATCCCGAATTTCCCAGGCTGGGTTTGGCTCCAAACGCTTCCCTTTAATTCCTGAGGTTTTATTCCCCCTTCATTAACCCTTAAGTGCTGTTAATTAACCCTTTAATTAAGCCAGGACCCCTCGGGCCCGTTTTCCCGGGAGTTTTTTGGGGGATGAGAGGTGGAAAAGGGGAATCCTGCAGGGATTGGGGGCACCCAAAGGCCGCCAAAAATTGACTTTTTGGGACCCCTGGATGCTCCCGTGGGAATTCCTCCCAAAAAAAAAAAAAAATAATCCGGGAAAAAAAGAAAAAGACAGGTGGCAATTAACCCCTTGGGTGCCAGCCCCGTGATTCCCTATTTTCCATTCCCAGCGGGAATTCCAGCCGGGATAAATGGGATTCCCAAATCCCCCACTGGGAATTCCAGCCAGGATAAATGGGATTCCCAAATCCATTCCCACTGGGAATTCCAGCCAGGACAAACAGGATTCCCAAATCCCGCTGGCAGTGCTCTCCCCACATCCCGGGCTGGAGAACCGGGAGCAGCGATGGATTCCGGCTCCTCCTTTTCCCAAACCTTTCCCAGCCCGCGGGAGCCGCGGGGGGCTGTGGAATTGCGGGAATTCGGGATTTTCCCGCAGGATCCCGCCGCGGGAGCCCCGCGGGCCGTGCCCGCCGCTGATCCGGGCTCTGATCCGCCTGATGCCGCAGGGTCGGGGGTCAGCGCGCTCCGCCCGCCCGCGAGCCCGGATTTTCTTCCCCGTTCCCGGATTTTCTTCCCCGTTCCCGGTTTTTCCCCCCATTCCCAGCGTTTTCCCCCCATTCCCGGCTTTTCCCCCCTCCCCATTCCCGTTTTCCCCCCCATTCCCGGATTTCCCCATGGAGAGCCGCTCGCTCTGAGCCCCGCGATGCTCCGCGCCCCGGGGTGGTCGCTCCTCCTTCCTCCTCCTCCTCCTCCTCCTCCTCCTCCTCGCCGCTCCGGCCGCTGATTCCCGCTCCGAGCCGAGCCGAGCCGAGCCAAATCCCGGGAAAATCGAGCCCAAGCTAAGCCCGGGATGGAGCGGGAGCCGCCCCGGGGCAAAGCGCGGCTGCCCTCGCTGCTCCTGGCGCTGCTGGGGCTCGGCCCAGGTGAGTGGGGGGCGACCCCAAAGCCGCGGGACCCCCTCGGGATTTGGGGACCCCCCGATCCATGGAAACCTCTGGAATTGCGCACCCGGCGGCTGCGGCTCCCGCCGGGGTCTCCCCGCCTCTCCTGACGCGGATTTTGGGGGTTTTATTGGATTTGGGGGCTGCGATTTTTTTCTCCCCCTCGCCGGGGTTGGGAAGCGGCTCCTTACGTAAAGCCGGGAGCGAGGGATGCCCCCGGAATTCCCAAACATTCCAGAATTCCCGCAAATCCCCTCCGGCAGCATTCCTGCGGGAAAAGCATCCCGCCGGACGGGCAGGTTAATTACGGGTTCATCAGCCTCGGCGATTAATTGGCCTCGCGGGGCCGCCGGGCGCCGATGCCGCCGCCAGGTGATGCCCCGAAAATTCAGCCCGGGAGAGGTGGGAAAAGCGCGAATTCCCGGGATTCGGAGCGCTGGGATCGCAGCCGGAGCGTGGGAAGCGAGGAAAAGCAGAAGCGCGGGGCTAAGAGCGAGGCTGGAGTTGGGAATTCGGGAATTCGGGAATTCGGGGCGGTTTGGGATGCAGCGGGAGCAGGGATGGATCCCGCTGCTCCTCCTCCCTCCTCCCCGCGCTGCCGAGGATGCGGGAGAGCCTCGTGCTCCCAAAAAACATCCAAATCTGGGATAAACAGGCTGAGGCGGGGAGGCGCTCGGAGCGGGAGGGGCCCGAACCCCCCCGGCCGCTTTTCCCGGCCTGGAAAAGGGGAAAAATCCCGGGAAAGGCTCCGGGAGCGCCGGGGGGGCTGGAGACGATCCCCGAGGGGGAGAGAGGGGAATGGGTTTGGAATTCCGGGGGGATTTGGGGATTTTGGGAAGCCCCTCCCCAGCCCCTCCCTGCGCTCAGCATCCCCCCCCGGGGTCTGGGGGTGCTTCACCCCCCAAAAACTTCACCGAGCGCTCAAAAATCCCCTCAGTTCTAAAGAGGAAACGCAGGAATCAAGTCCTGGAAGAGCAGGAGTGAAAGCCGGGAAATACAGGGATAAAAGCGGGATGAGCAGGAATCAATCTTGGGATGAGCAGGAATCGATCCCGGGATGAGCAGGAACCAAATCCTGGAAAAGTGGGAATTAAACACGGGAAAAACAGGAATCAAACCCCGCGTGAGCAGGAATCCAATCCTGGAAAAGCAGGGATCAAACTCAGGAAAAGCAAACATCAAGCCCGGGAAAAGCGGGAATGAAACCTGGGAAAAACGGGAATGAAACCTGGGAAAAGCAGGAATGAAACTCAGGGAAAAGCGGGAATGAAACTCAGGGAAAAGCGGGAATGAAACCTGGGAAAAGCAGGAATTGAGCCCGGGAAAAGCGGGAACCAAGCCCGGGCCAAAGGGGGCTCGCAGCGAGCGCCGCCCGGGTTTAGCCCGGGTTGAACCGGGACAGGGACTGGGAGGGGACACCGGGAATGTCCCCACGGCGGGAGGGACCCGCCCCGTCCTCGGCGGGCTGGAGCCGCTGGTCCCGAAATCCCGACAAGTTCCCGAACTCCCGAAACTCCTGAAATCCCCAAATCCCGAAAAACTCCCGAATGTCCCCAGATCCCGAAATCCCGAAAAATCCCCGAAATCCCGAAGTTCCCGGCGCAGGGCCGCGGGGGTGGCGCAGGTGACAGCTTGGCGGGGGGAGGGCGCTGCCAGCAGCGGGGGAGGCGGCGCCCAGCGGAATTTTTCCAAGGAAATGCCAAAAAAAAAGAGAAAAAAAACCCCAAATGGAATCTCAGAACCTTCCCCTGGGGCTGGGATCAGGCCCCATCCCGGGGGAAATCCCCAATCCCAAAATTTTGGGGGTTTGTCCCTGCCTGGAGCTGCCCAGCGGCTCCTGGGAGCAGGAATTGGGCAGAAATTCTGCCCCAAAACCCCAAAATCCCCCAATTTTGCAGAAACTCTGCCCCCAAACCCCCAATTTTGCAGACATTCTGCCCCAGAACCCCAATTTTGCAGACATTCTACCCAAAACCCCGATTTTGCAGACATTCTACCCAAAAAAAGAAAAACCCCTCTCGGTTTCCGCAGGGCTGTTGCAGGAGGCGCCTTTTGAGGCAGAAAATGAGGTTTTGGAAATTCTGGCTGGGAATTCCACCCAGTCTCTCCTGGAGCGTTGTTCTGGTGAGAGCCCCGAGCTCAGATGGGGCCGCATCTGAACCTGTAGCTTTTAGGTTTTGACGTTTTTGGCCGATTTTTCCCCCAAAATTTCCATTTTCCCCTCTCTTTTTCGGAGGAAATCCCTTTCCTGCAGTAAATTCACCTTTTTAGCTGATTTCCCCCAAGATTTCCATCCTTTTCCTCGCTTTTTTGGGGTTCATCCTACAGCCAAACCCATAGTTTTTAGTTTTTGACCTTTTTGGCTGATTTTTCCCCCAAACCTCTGCTTTCCGCTCTCATTTTTTGAGGCTCAGAGACCCCACGCTTGTTAATTCACCATTTTTGCTGATTTCCCCCAAAATTTCTGCTTTTCCCTCTTTTGTGGACAACACCCGCTCGCAAACCGCTCCAAACCCGCAGTGATTTCCCTTTTCAGCCACTTTTCCCCCCAAAATTCCCGTCCTTCCTTCTCTTTTGTGGAGGGAATTCCTCTCCTGGGACTGATTCACCTTTTTGGCTGTTTTTCCCTCCAAAATTTCTGCTTTTCCCTCTTTTTTAACGACACAAATGGCTCCGAACCTGGCCAAGGCCGCTGCCAGGATGCTCCTCCTCCTCCTCTTCCTCCCCAAATGTCCCCAAATGTCCCCATATGACCCTAAATGGCCCCAAATGACCCAAATGGCCCCAAAACAGCCTCAAATGGCCCCAAATGTCCTAAAAATGTCCCTAAAATGTCCACAAGTGTCCCAAAAATGTTCCCAAAACATCCCCAAACACCCTCAGAATGCTCTCCAAATGTCTCAAAAGGGTCCCCAAGTGTCCTAAAAATGTCCCCAAAATGTCCCCAGCTGTCCCCAAAATGTCCAGAAATGCCCCCAAACATCCCCAAATTTGCCCGAAACGCTCTCAGTGCCGTTTCTGTGCCCCAGAGCTGCTCTGCAGCTGGACCTGGGCAAGGCTGGGCTGCTCGGTGCTGCTGGCACCCCAAAAACCATCCCTAAAATGTCCCCAAATGTTCCTAAACATCCCCAAAATGTCCCCAAATGTCCCCAAACATCCCCAAACATCCCCAAAATGTCCCCAACTGCCATTTCTGTGCCCCAGAGCTGCTGTTTGGCCAGGCCCGTGCTGCGGCGCCCTGGCCAGTGCACGGCGTGCTCGGTGCTGCTGTCACCCCAAAAACCATCCCAAAATGCCCCCAAACATCCCCAAAATGTCCCCAAAATGTCCCCAGATGTCCCCAAATGTCCCCAACTCCCATTTCTGTGCCCCAGAGCTGCTGTTTAGCCAGGACCGTGCCGCGGCATCCCGGCCGGTGCACGGCGTGTTCAGTGCTGCTGTCACCCCAAAAACCATCCCTAAAATGTCCCCAAATGTTCCTAAACATCCCCAAAATGTCCCCAAACATCCCCAAATGTTCCCAAATGTCCCCAGCTCCCATTTCTGTGCCCCAGAGCTGCTGTTCGGCCAGGCCCGTGCCTGGCATGCTCGGTGCTGCTGTCACCCCAAAAACCATCCCCAAAATGTCCCCAAACATCCCCAAATGTTCCCAAACATCCCAAAAATGTTCCCAAACATCCCCAAATGTCCCCAACTGCCATTTCTGTGCCCCAGAGCTGCTGTTTGGTCAGGCCCGTGCCGCGGCGCCCCGGCCGGTGCACGGTGTGCTCGGTGCTGCTGTCACCCCAAAAACCGTCCCCCAAATGTCCCCAAACATCCCCAAACATCCTCAAATATCCCCAAATGTTTCCAAAATGTCCCGAAAATGTCCCCATCTCCCATTTCTGTGCCCAGAGCTGCTGTTCGGCCAGGCCCGTGCCGCGGCGCCCCGGCCGGTGCACGGCGTGCTCGGCGGCTCGGTGCTGCTGTCGCCGGCGCTGCCGCCCAACCGGACGGTGAAGGAGATCGAGTGGAGCTTCTCGGCGGGCACCGGTGCCACCATCCAGGTGGCCGAGGTGGGCCCGGGCGGCTTCGAGCGGCCGGACCCGCGGGACCGTTTCGGCGGGCGCCTGGAGCCCGTCAACGGCACGGCGCTGCGGCTGCGGCAGCTGCAGCGCGGCGACAGCGGCGTCTTCGCGGCCCGCATCAAGCTGCAGCCGGCCCTGGTGGATGACCAGGCCTTCAACCTGACGGTCTACGGTGCGTGGGGCTCGTTTATTAATTAATGCGTTAATTGGTTTGGTGTCCGTTCGGTTAAATTGGGGTTTTCGGGGTGGGGAAACTGAGGCACAGCACAGGATTGGGGTTTTAGGTGGTGCCGGGGGATGATCACACCTCCAGCCTGTCTGTCCATGGCGGTGGGGCTTGGTTAATTAATACAGTTAATTAATTAGCTAATTAATCCTGGAGTTAAGGTGGGTGTTTTGTATGGGGAAACTGAGGCACGGACTCCAGATTTCCTCCCTGTTTCAGCCCTGGGGGAGATTTTGGGGTGATTTTTTATTATTTTGGGTGATTTTGATGGTTTTTGGGTGATTTTTGGGCTGATTTGGGGCTGATTTTGGGCTAATTCTGGCTGATTTGGGGCTGATTTCTGCCTGATTTGGGGCTGATTTTCGGTTATTTTGGGCTGATTTGGGTGTGATTTCTGGCTGATTTCTGGCTGATTTGGGCTGATTTCTGGCTGATTTCTGGCTGTTTTGGGCTGATTTCTGGCTGATTTCTGGCTGTTTTGGGCTGATTTCTGGCGGATTTGGGCTGATTTCTGCCTGATTTCTGCCTGATTTCTGCCTGATTTCTGGCTGATTTGGGGCTGATTTCTGGCTGATTTTGGGTTATTTTGGCCTGATTTCTGGCTGATTTGGGGCTGATTTCTGGCTGATTTGGGCTGATTCTGGCTGATTTGGGCTGATTCTGGCTGATTTCTGGCTGATCTTGGGTTATTTCTGTCTGATTTCTGTCTGCTTTGCTCTGATCCTGCCCATGCCGTGTTCTCGGCGCAGAGGCGGTGCCCAGCCCGCGCACCCGCAGCCAGCTGCTGGCCAGCACCCTGGACTGGTGCAACCTGACGCTGCAGTGCCAGGGCAGCGGCCGCGGCGCCGTCAACGTCACCTGGCGGCGCGACAGCCTGGCCTGGGCCGAGCCGGGCCCCGGGCGGCACCAGCTGTCCCCCGACGGCACCACCCTGCGCGTGGCACTGCCACCCGCCGCCACCAACGTCACCTACGCCTGCACCGTCAGCAACCCCGCCGACCGCAAGGTCGCCCTGTTCCACCTGCACAGCCTCTGCCAGGGCGCCGGTGAGACACGGGCACGCGGGGCTGGGTGGCACAGGGACACGGGGACACGGGTGACACGGGGCTGGGGTGGCACAGGGACACGGGGACACGGCTGAGGGTGGCACAGTGACATGGGGACACAGCTGAGGGTGGCACAGCGGGGACACGGGTGACACGGGGACGGGGGGCTGGGGTGGCACAGTGACACGGGGACGCTGCTGGGGACAGGAGTGGGGCACGGGGCTGGGGACACGGCTGGGGACATGGCTGGGGGACACGGGGCTGGGGGACACGGGGCTGGGGACAGGAGTGGGGGCACGGCTGTGGGGTACAGGTGACATGGGGACACGGCTGAGGGTGGCACAGGTGACACGGGGACACAGCTGAGGTGACATGGCTGAGGCGACATGGCTGAGGCAACACGGCCAGGGTGGCACAGCCAGAGTGACAAGCCTGAGGTGGCACTGCCAGGGGGACACGGCCGGGGTGGCACTCCCGGGTGTCACGGCGTGTCCCCGGCGGGCAGGGGGACACTCGGCCTTCTCCACCTCGGGCTACGTGGTGCTGGCGCTGATCCTGGTGGCCGTGAGCCTGGGCGGCGCCTTCTGGTGCTGGAGGGTCAACAGCGAGAAGGCGGCACGGGCAGGTGGGCACAGCACGGGCATGGACAGGGGGCATGGCACAGCACCAGTTCCCGGTTCCCAATCCCCAGTTCCCAGCTCCCAATCCCCAATTCCCAGTTCCATATTCCCAGTTCCCAATCCCCAATTCCCAATTCCCAGTTCCCTGCTCCCAATTCCCAGTTCCCAATTCCCAATCCCCAGTCCCCCAGTCCCAGTTCCCAGTTCCCAATTCCCAATTCCCAGCTCCCAGTTCCCAGTTCTCCATTTCCAGTTCCCCAGTTCCCAGTTCCAGTTCCCAATTCCTAATTCAGTTCCAGTTCCAGTTCCCAATCCCCAATTCCCAGTTCCCAATTCCCAGTTCCCAGTTCCCAATTCCCAGTTCCCCAGTTCCAATTCCAGTTCTCAATTCCCAGCTCCCAGTTTCCAATTCTCCATTCCCAGTTCCCCAGTTCCAGTTCCCACTTCCCAATTCCCAGTTCTCCATTCCCAGTTCCCAATTCCCAGTTCCCAATTCCCAGTTCCCAATTCCCAGTTCCCAATTCCCAGCTCACAGCTCCCAGTTCCCCAATTCCCAGTCCCAAATTCCCCAATCCCCCATTTTCCCCTTTTCCCCGAATTTTTCCCATTTCCCCTGGATTTTTTTCCCACTTTCTCCATGTTTCCCATTTTCCCCACTTTTTTCCCATTTCCCCTGTTTTCTTCCCCCTTTTCCCCGGATTTTCCCCATTTCCCCTGGATTTTTTTTCCCATTTTCTCCATTTTTCCCAATTTCCCCATTTTTTCCCCATTTTTCCCGCAGCCGCCACGCCCACGGCGCCGCCTGAGGAGAGCCCCGGGGAGCCCCAATACAGCGACATCGTCTGCAGGAGCCCCCCCGAGGGCAACGACCAGGTCGGGACCCCAAAAACCGCGGGGGGACCCCAAAACCACCACGGGAAATCCTAATAATTGTGGGAATCACAAAAACCGAGGGGGGATCCCAAAAACCGAGGGAGGATCCCCAGAAAAACCGCGGGAACCCCAAAAACCGTGAGGGGGTCCCCACAAAAACCTCAGAAATCCCAAAAACCACGTGGGGACCCCAAAACCCATGGGGGGATCCCCACAAAACCCACAGGATCCCAAAACCTGCAGGAATCCCAAAAACCAAGGGGGGGGGGATCCCAAAAACCGAGTGGGGGACCCCAAAACCGGCGAGAATCCCAAAAACCGTGGGGAGATCCCCATGAAACCCCCGGAAATCCCAAAACCGTTGAGAATCCCAAAACCACGGGAGCGCCAAAAACGGGACCCCAAAATCCTCGGGGACCCCAAATTTCACCCCGCAGGGTCCCAGCGCCCCCGAGGCCCTGCAGGAGCCCAGCGCACCCCAAAAATCCGAGCCTGGTGAACCCCAAAAATCCGAGCCAGACGAACCCCAAAAATCGGAGCCTGGTGAACCCCAAAAATCGGAGCCCGGTGAACCCCAAAAATCGGAGCCCGGTGAACCCCAAAAATCCGAGGCCGCGGCCCCAAAAGCCTCCCCGGGGGGGGACGAGCGGAGCGGCCCCGAGGACGCGGCCCAGGAGGTGACATAGGACAGGTGAGGGGACCCCAAAAACGGGGCACGGCCGGACACCCCAAAACCGCCGGGGGGGAGGGGGAAAGGGGGGCGGTGTCCCCAAAAAGGGACATTTGGGGCACCCCGAAAGAGCCGGGGTGAAAGGGTTGGGGTGTCCCCAAAAAGGGGACCCCGAAAGAGCCGAGGTTAAGGGATTAAAGGGTTTTTTTGGGTGGGGCTGTCCCTGAAAAGGGAGATTTGGGGACACCCTGGACCCCAAAAGGGCTGGGGTTAAAGGGTTGTTGTGTCCCCAAAAACGGGACCCCAAAAGAGCCGAGGTTAAAGGGTTAAAAGGTTATTTATTTGAGAGGGGCTGTCCCCGAAAAGGGACATTTGGGGCACCCCAAAAGAGTGAGGGATAAACAGTTGGGGTGTCCCCAAAAAGGGGACCCCAAAAACCCGGGGTTAATGGACTAAAGGGTTTTTTTGGGTGGGGCTGTCCCCAAAAAGGGAGATTTGGGGACACCAAAAAAGGGATTAAAGAGCCCCAAAAGGGGGTTACGGGGCTGGGCCCCCAAAAGCGGCCCCGACCGCGGGGGCTCCTCCCTTTTGGGGACCCCGACCCCACAAAATCGGGGTCTGTCCCCGCAGCTGCCGCCGCGCCGGGACCCCCGGACGGGCCGGGGGGCGTCGAGTGCCAAACCCCGACCCCAAAACCGCGCCCCGACCCCAAAAGAGCGGCCCCGCGGGACCCCCGACCCCACAGCGGCACGGATCCCCCCTCCCGACCCCAAAACCCGCGGGTTTGTCCCCAAATCCTGCCTGGGACTGCGCTGGGGAGGGGGATCCCGATCGGGGGTGGGATTTGGGGGATTTGGGGGTCCCCGGGTGCTCCCCGGTGGGTTTTGGGGTGGGGGGCTCCCCCGACCCCACAGCGGCACGGATTTCCCTTCCCGACCCCAAAACCCGCGGGTTTGTCCCCAAATCCTGCCTGGGACTGTTTTGGGGTGGGGGCTTCGGGCGGGGGGGGGTCCCGGGTGGGTCCTCGGGGGGTTTTTGGGGTCCCCGGGGGGGGATTTGGGATCCTTGGGTGGGTTTTGGGGTCCCCGGGGGGGTTCTGGGGTCCCTGAGAGGCTCCCCGGGGGGGTTTTGGGGGTTCCCGGGGCTTTTTGGGGTCCCTGGGGGTTTTTGGGGGTCCCTGGGGGTTTCTGGGGTTCTCCGGGATTGAGGAAAACCGGGAATTCTCCGAGCCCCCAAAAGCCAGCACCCCCCCAGTGTAAATACTAAATAAATGTTGGTGACGTTTGGGGTGTCCTGGTGTGATTTGGCGAATTTTGGGGCGTTTCGGGGCGGTTTCAGCTGATTTCGGGGCGGTTTAGGGCGAGTTTTGGGGTGATTTGGGCTGGTTTTGGGGTGTTCTGGACTGGTTTTGGGGCTATTTTGGGGCTGTTTTGGGGTATTTGGGGCCGGGTTTGGCCCTGGGTTTGGGGCTATTTTGGGACGCTATTTTGGGGCTATTTTAGGGCTATTTTGGGGTATTTGGGGCCGGGTTTGGCCCTGACTCCCTATTTTCCCCTATTTCCCCCATTCTTGGCCCGGTTTATGCCGGTTTTGCACTGTTTTTGCGGGGTTTTCCCCGTTTTCCCCCGTTTTTCCCCCATTTTCCGTGAGGGGCGGCGCCGTTTCCCGCCCCCCTCGCCCCCCCCAGCCCCGGCGGGACCGGAAGCGGAAGCGCGTGGGCGCGCGCGCTGCCCGGAAGCGCGTGGGCGGCGGCGGCGGTTCCGGTTCCGGCGGCGGCGGCGGCGCGGGGGAGGCACCGGGAGAGGAGAGGGAGAGGAGGAGGCGGAGGGAAAGGGGAAAGCGAAGAACGAGAAGCGGCGGCGCCGCCGACAACACCGACAGCGGCGCCACCAGCGAAAGCCGAGCCGCCTCCTCTCCCCCCCCCCCGCCCCGCGCTACCGGGGACGATCCGCCTCCCCCCCCCCCGCCCCGGTCCCCGCCCGCCTCCTTCCCCGTTTCCCCCCTCCCTTCCCGTCCTCCTCCTCCTCCTCCTTCTCCCGGAACCCGCCTCGCTCCTCCCGGCCCGCGCCGCCCCCGCAGGTTCGTCCCGGGGGGATCCCGGGGGGGGCGGGGGGGGGGGCGGATTTACCGGGGGTTACCGGAGGCGGGGGGGGAGCGGCTCGGGATAAAGGCAAAGCCCCGCAGGCCGCCGGGGAGGGGCCGCGGGGGCTGCTCGGCGCTCCCCGGTGGGCGGCGAGGGCTGGAGCGCGGCCCCGGTAACGGCGGGGGGGGTCCCGGTAACGGGGGGGGGGGGGGGCGGAGGGGGCGTTGGGTAAACACGGAGCGGCCGAACGGGCGGGTCCGAGGCGGGGCGGGGGCTCCGCAGCACCGCCCCGCCCGGCGGGGGTGAGCAAACACCGACCCCCCCCCGCCGCCGGTACCGGGGGGTCACCGGGAGCGGCACCGGGACCGGCCCCCCCCGTGGCGCGGTCCCGGCGGGCGGCGTGGGAGGCCCCGGCCGCGCTCCGGGGGTGTCGGGGCGGGAGCGGCACCGCCCGGGGCCGGGGCCGGGCCGGGCAGGCCGGGGCAGGCTCGGGCCGGCGCTAACGGAGCGGGAGAGCCCCGGGCACGGCCCCGCCGCCGCCCCGGCGCCGCTCGGCCCCTCCCGGCGGCCATTTGGGGCCTTTGAAGCGGTGCCGGGGCACCGGGAACCGGGCTGGGCCCGGGGGGGCGGGAACGGCAGCTCCGGTTCCTCCCCGGGGGGCTCCGGTTCCTTCCCGGGGGGCTCCGGTTCCTCCCGGGCCTCTCCCGTTCCCGGGGCTCCGATGTGAATTCCAGCCCCGGAAATTTCCCTTTTCCCCGCTCCTTTTCCCGGTTATTTTGGGTTTTTTTTTCCCTTTCCCCTCTTCCTCTTTCCCTTTTCCCCCTTTTTCCTCCTTTTCCCCATTTTTCCTCTCTTTCCCCCCTTTTTTCCCCAATTTTCCACTCCTTTCCCCCCATTTTCCTCCCCCTTTTTCCCTTTTCCCCCATTTTTCCTATTTTCCTCCCTTTTTTTCCCACCTTCCTCTCCCTTTTCCCCACTTTCCTCCCTTCTCCCCTTTTTTCCACTTTCCTTCCCCTTTTTTCCCCTTTCCCCCCTATTTTTCCCATGTTTTTCCCCTGTTTTCCCCCTATTTTTCCCCATTTTTCCCCGTTTCCCCTCCCTCCCTGGCACATCTGGCGCTCTCCCAGCTGTGCATTTTGGCAGCCGGGCCGGGCTGGAACTGAGCTGGGTTTGTTTGGTCTCCTCCCTGCACTTCCAGCCCGGGAAATTTCCCTTTTTCCCCCATTTCCCCCCTTTTTCACATTTCTCTTCATTTCCCCTTTTCTTTCCCCTCTTCCTCCCCCTCCTTTCCCCCATTTTTTTCCCATTTTTCCTCTTTTTTCCCTTTTCTCCCATTTCCCCCCCCTTTTCCTATTTTCTCCCATGTTTTCCAAATTTCTTCCCCATTTTTCCCCATTTTTCCCCATTTTTCTCCATTTTTCCCCATTTTTCCCCATTTTTCCCCATTTTTCCCCATTTTTCTCCCATTTTTCTCCCATTTTTCTCCCATTTTTCCCCCATTTTTCCCCCATTTTTCCCCCGTTTTCCCCCCACTTTTCTCCCTTTTTTCTCCCTTTTTTCTCCCTCATTTTTCTCCCATTTTCCCCCTCATTTTTTCTCCCTTTTTCTCCCATTTCCCCCCTCATTTTTTCTCCCTTTTTTCTCCCATTTTTCCCCATTTTTCCCCATTTTTCCCATTTTCCCCCACCCCAGGGTCTCTGAGCTCTCTCTCCCTGCAGGAGGAAGAGGATGAAGGCCGGCTGCAGCATCGTGGACAAGCCCGAGGGAGGAGGGGGTAAGAGACCCCAAAATCCTAAAAATCCCAGAAATCCCAATTCCCATAAAGGATAAAAGCATTCCCTGATTTCTCCCCCCCAAAAAACCCACTCCAAATCAGATTTAAAAAAAAAAAAAAAAACAAAAAAACAAAACCACTCCAAATCAGATTTTTCCCAAAAAAAAACCCCAACTCCAAATTATATTTTTCCAAAAAAAAAAACCCACCCAAAATCAGATCTTTCCAAAAAAAACCTAACTCCAAACCAGATTTTTCCCAAAACAACCCCAAATTATATTTTCCCAAAAAACCCATCCCCAAATCAGATTTTCCAAAAAAAAAAACCACCCCCAAACCAGATTTTTCCCCAAAAAACCCATCCCCAAATCAGATTTTTTCCAAAAATTAAAAAAAAAAAAACAAAATCCCACCCCAAATTGGGTTGTTTGGGTTTTTTACCTGAATTTCATCCCTGGGATTTTGACTGGAATATTGAATGGGATTCCAGCCAGGTTTTATCAATTTTTGGGATTTTTTTGTGGGGTTTTTTTGTGGTTTTTTGATGGTTTTGGGTGGATTTCCCAAGGAAATGGGCTGAAGCGAGGAGCTGGATGGGAAATCTGGAATTCTCTGCTGCCACAGGGAATATGGAACAGAATTCCAGGCCCCAGTGATTAATGGGATTCCAGCCCAGTTTTCCCAATTTTTTGGTGGGTTTTTTGCAGGTTTTAGTGGGTTTTTGTGGTTTTTTATGGGGTTTTGTGGGTTTTTTGTGGGTTTTTAGTGGGTTCTAGTGATTTTTTTGGTGTTTCTTGGATGGATTTTTAAAGAAATGGGTCTGAAAGGAGTCAGAAGTGAGGAGCTGGATGGGAAATCTGGAATTCCCTGCTCCCACATGGAATATTGAACGGAATTCCAGGCCCCAGTGATTCATGGAATTCCAGCCAAGTTTTCCCAATTTTTTGGTGGGTTTGGGTGGGTTTTAGTGGGTTTTTTTTGGTGGATTTTTGTGGTTTTTTCACAGGTTTTTGTGGGTTTTTCATGGGTTTTTGTGGATTTTAGTGGGGTTTTTTTGGTGTTGTTTGGGTGGATTTTCCATGGAAATGGGTCTGAAAGGAGTCAGAAGTGAGCAGGTGGGTGGGAAATCTGGATCTGCCTGCTCCCACATGGAATATTGAGTTCCACCCAAGTTTTACAATTTTTTGGTGGTTTTTCACGGGTTTTAGTGTTTTTTTTGTGATTTTGAGTGGTTTTTTTGGTGTTGTTTGGGTGGATTTTCCATGGAAATGGGGATGAAATGATTCAGAAGTGAGCAGCTGGGTGGGAAACCTGGAATTCCCCACTCCCACATGGAATATTGAGTTCCACCCAAGTTTTACAGTTTTTGGTGGGTTTTAGTGGGTTTTTTTGGTGGTTTTTGGGTGGGTTTTCCATGGAAATGGGGCTGGAAGGAGTCCGAAGTGAGCAGCTGGGTGGGAAACCTGGAATTCCCCAATCCCACAGGGAATACTGGACAGAATCCCACCTCCTTCCCCATCCCACTGATCCCCCATCGTTCCCTAAACAACATTTCCCATTTCCCCCCCACTTTCCCCCCACTTTTTTGCCATTTTCCCCCATTTCCCCCCACAATTTCCCCCCACAATTTCCCCCCACAATTTCCCCCCACAATTTCCCCCCACAATTTCCCCCCACAATTTCCCCCCACAATTTCCCCCCACAATTTCCCCCCCACAATTTCCCCCCACAATTTCCCCCCACAATTTCCCCCCACAATTTCCCCCCACAATTCCCCCCCACAATTCCCCCCCCCTTTCTCCCCATTTTCCTCCCATATTTTCCCCATTCCCCCCCCATTCCCCCCTCCCATTTCCCCCATTCCCTCCCACTTCCCCCTCATTTCTCCCCATTTCCCCCCCAACTTCCCCCCCATTTCCCCCCCATTCTTTCCCCATTTCCCCCCCATTTTTTCACCATTTTCCCCCATTTTTTCCCCCATTTTCCTCCCATATTTTCCCCATTTCCCACCCCATTTTCCCCCCTATTTCCCCCCCATTTTTTCCCCATTTTCCCCCATTTTTTCCCCACATTCCCCCATATTTTCCCCCCAAGGCTACCACTTCCCGGAGTGGGCGTACAAGACGGAGTCGAGCCCCGGCTCGCGGCAGATCCAGCTGTGGCACTTCATCCTGGAGCTGCTGCAGAAGGAGGAGTTCCGGCACGTCATCGCCTGGCAGCAGGGCGAGTACGGCGAGTTCGTCATCAAGGACCCCGACGAGGTGGCGCGGCTCTGGGGGCGCCGCAAGTGCAAGCCCCAGATGAACTACGACAAGCTCAGCCGGGCCCTCAGGTCAGCAAATTTGGGGTTTTCCCTTTTTTTCCCCCATGAATTTTGGGGTTTTCTAGTGGGGTGTCATGCCGGTGTTGGCTCGTCCATCATGGATTTGGTGGCGCGGCTCTGGGGCGCCGCAAGTGCAAGCCCCAGATGAACTACGACAAGCTCAGCCGGGCCCTCAGGTCAGCAAATTTGGGGTTTTCCCTTTTTTTCCCCATGAATTTTGGGGTTTTCTAGCGGGGTGTCATGCTGGTGTTGGCTCGTCCATCGGGGATTTGGTGGCGCGGCTCTGGGGGCGCCACAGGTTGAAGCCCCAGATGAACTACAACAAGCTCAGCCGGGCCCTCAGGTCAGGGAAATTGGGGTTTTCTGCTTTTCTTCCACGAATTTTAGGGTTTTTTCCCCTTTTTTCCCATGAATTTTGGGGTTCTCTGGTGGGGTGTCATACTGGGGTTAGCCCAGCTCTGGGTTTGGTGGCGTGGCTCTGGTGGCACCACATATGCAAGGCCCAGATGAGCTACGACAAGCTCAGCTGTGCCCTCAGGTCCATTAAATTTGGGGTTTTCTGCTTTTTTTCCATGAATGTTGGGGGTTTTTCCCTTTTTTCCCCGTGAATTTTGGGGTTTTCTAGTGGGGTGCTGTGCTGGTGTTGGCTCGTCCATCAGGGTTTGGGGTGCTGGGGTTGGCCCGGCTCTGGTGGCACCAGGAATGGAAACCCCACATGAACTAAGACAAGCTCAGCTGTGCCCTCAGGTCAGCCAAATTGGGTTTATTCCCCTTTTTTCCATGAATTTTGGGGTTTTCCAGCTGGTATCATTCTGGTGTTGGCTCGTCCATCAGGGTTTGGGGTGCTGGGGTTGAGCAGGAAATTAGGAAAGAGCTCCTCAGGAATTCTGGATTTTTAAGGATATTTAAGCTGCATTCCAGCCCCAACCATCCCAAAATTCCATATTTTGGTTAAACAGGATATTAGGAAGGAATCCCTCTGGAATTAGGAAGGGATTCTGGATTTTTGAGTGCTTTGATCCATTTTTTTGGGTTTTTTTTCCCATTTAAAAAAAAAAAATTATTTGCAGATATTATTACAACAAGAGGATCCTGCACAAGACCAAGGGCAAAAGATTCACCTACAAATTCAACTTCAACAAACTGGTGATGCCCAATTATCCCTTCATCAACATCCGGCCTAACGGTGAGCCCCAGGAATTTGGGAATTAGGGAATTCCGGATGGGAATGGGGGGGAAAAAACAAAAAAAAAAACCCAACCCAGGGATGTGGAATATTGTTTTTTCCCCAGCCAGCCTGGATAAAATAAAAAAAGCAAAACCTGGGAGCAAACCCCAGATGCGGAGGGGGATGTGGGGTCGGATTTATCTTTCCCCGGGGATTTTTGGGATTTGGGGGATAAGAGGATCAGCCTTGGGATGCACTCCCGGAATGGCTCAGGTGAGTTTATGGTGTAAAAATCCACGGCTTTTTCTCCCTTCTCTCCCCCTTTTTCCTGCTCCTTTTCACCCAAAAATTGCAGGTTTTTAACCCATTCTTGCCCTGGGGTTGGGAGGGATTCCATAGGGACGCAGCAGGAATTCCTTGGATTTTGGTTAAAAATCAGAAATTCTTCCCTGGAGAAGGGAGGATAATGAGAAAGGGATTGGGAATGGAGCATAAATGTCCCTTTTTTGCCCTAAAATGGTTTTGCCAGGTTTATCCTGGAATCGGTAGCGGTTTCCTGGGAAAAGGGTCTCTCCAAGGGGATTTTAAAAGGAATTAAACCCCCTAAGAGCCAAATTCCTACAGCTGAGGGATTGTCCCGATCAGGCACGGTGGGAAAATGAATCCATAAAAACAGGAAACCCCTCTGGAAGTTGATATTTCCAGAAATTCCAAACATTTCTCCTCACAAAATCTCAATTTAGAGGAGCTGGGCCTAGCAGGAGCTGCTCCAGTGGAAAGCCTGGATGCCAAATCCAGGAGGAAAAAAGGCAGGAAAAGTTGGGAAATTGGTGATTATTTAATGCAAAAAGACAGAAAATCCCTCTGAAAGTCAATATTCCTGGAAATTGCAAACTTTTCTCCTCACAAAATCTCAATTTAGTGGAGCCCAGCCCAGCACAATCTGCTTCAGGGCAAAGCCTGGGAGGCCAATCCAGCAGGGAACAAAGCAGGAAAAAAAAACAGAAAAAAATGGGGAAATTGGTGATTATTGAATCCATGAAGGTACAAAATCCCTCTGGAAGTTGATATTTCCAAAAACTCCAAACTTTTCTCCACAAAAAATCCCAATTTAGAGGAGCTGGGCCTAGCAGGAGCTGCTCCAGGGGAAAGTGTGGAGCACCAATCCAGCAGGGAAAAAAACAAGAAAAGTGGGGAAATCGGTGATAATTTAATCCAAAAAGATAAAAAAACTGCCTGCAACTCGTTGTTCCCAAAAATTCCAAACTTTTCTCCACAGAAAAGTCCAGATTTGGAGGATCCTGATCCAGCTTCCAGGGCAAAGCCTGGAACAGTGATCCAGCAGGGAAAATAGGGATAGAAGCAGATTCTGTGTGGGGAAAAAAGGGATTTTTCCAGGCTGGAGCTTCTGGCCGGCGCCGCCGCCTCCCCTCCCTGAGGGAATCTCCGAGGTTTTGTTTTTCCAAGGCTCCGGGAAGGCCAAAAAACAAAAACAAAAAGGGAGAAATTCCTCCAGGTGTTGGTGTCTCCTTCACCTGTGTGGGCCCTGCTGGGGTTTGTTTTCTTTTCTTTTTTTTTTTTTTGGGGGAGAAGGGAATGTCTTTTCCAAGCCAAGGAACGGGGGTGGGAAGATGTGTCTGGAGCTGCAATTCCGTAATTAACTGGGAGCAAACGAGTCCGGGCAGTTCCCAGCCCCTGCTCCCTCCTGGCCCTGGGGCGCTCGGGAACAAAAATAATTTGGGAGAATTTGGAAGGCTCCTGGTTAATCCCAGCCCCTCTCCTTCCCGCCCCCGTGGGGGTTGGGGTAGCAAACCTGGAATTTGGGGTTTTTCTCCAGGATTTCCCCTCCCTCACTGAGATTTTGGGTGGGAATTTGAGGGATTTGGGTGGGAATTTGAGGGATTTAGGTGGGAATTTGAGATATTTCTGTGGATGTTTGAGATGTTTCCATGGATTGATGAGATCCCCCCTCAGAGGACAGATTTTGATGACTATCCTAGGTATTTCCTTGGATATTGGGGATATTTGATGTATTTCTATGGATTGATGACTTTTCCCCTCAGAGAAGATGTTTCCGTGGACATTGGAGATATTTCCATGGATTTTTGAAATATTTTTATGGATGTTGGGAGACATTTCCATGGATTGATGAGATCCCCTCTCAGATGAGATATTTCCATGGATATCTAGGCTTTTTCCATGGGTATTTGAGACATTTCCATGGATATTTCAGACATTTCCATGGATATTTGAGGTTTTTGCATGGATATTTCAGCCATTCCCATTGATATTTCAGCCATTCCCATGGATATTTGAGTTTTTTCCATGGATATTTGAGTTTTTTCCATGGATATTTCAGCCATTCCCATGGATATTTCAGCCATTTCCATGGATATTTGAGGGTTTTTCCATGGATATTTGAGTTTTTTTCATGGATATTTGATTTTTTTTCCATGGATATTTCAGCCATTCCCATGGATATTTCAGCCATTTCCATGGATATTTGAGGTTTTCTTCATGGATATTTGATTTTTTTCCATGGATATTTCCGCCATTCCCATGGATATTTCAGCCATTCCCATTAACCGATGCGCTCCCCGCTCGGATCAGAGCTTCACCCGGACATTTCAAACCCTCCCCTAGACTTCCCCTCCATCCCCACGGATCTCAGCCAGCTCCAGCCCCGCTCCCCAAACCCCCTCACTGTTTTTTCCCTTTTCCCGCTTTTTTCCCCGCGCAGGCGTGGTCCCGCAGAGCGCGCCGCCGGTGCCCACGGCCTCGTCCCGCTTCCACTTCCCGCCGCTGGAGCCGCACTCGCCGGGCGAGGAGGCGGCGGCGCGCTTCGCGCCGGGCACGCTGCTGCCGCCGCACGCCGAGGCGCTGCCCGACGCCGAGAGGAAGCCGGAGCCCGCCGAGCTGGAGGAGAGCGGGCCGGACTGGCGCCGGGAGCTGCTGGCGCCGGCGCACGCGGCGGCCGGCGGCGCGGCGCCCGCGGGGCCCAAGCGCAAGCCCGAGGTGGTGCTGCCGCTCTTCTCGCGGCCCGGCGTGTTCCCCGAGCACCCGCACAGCCCCTTCGCCGTGTCGCCGCTGCCGGGCCGCCCCGGCGTGCTCAACGTGCCCATCTCGCCGGCGCTGTCGCTGACGCCCACGCTCTTCTCCTACAGCCCCTCGCCGGGGCTCAGCCCCTTCGCCGCCGCCGGCAGCAGCTGCTTCTCCTTCAACCCCGAGGAGATGAAGCACTACCTGCACTCGCAGGCCTGCTCCGTCTTCAACTACCACCTGAGCCCGCGGACGTTCCCCCGCTACCCGCTGGTGGTGCCGCCGCTGCAGTGCCCGGTGCCGCTGGAGGAGCCGCCGCAGTTCCCCATCAAGCTGCAGCCGCCGCCCGCCGGCCGCAAGAACCGCGAGCGCCTGGAGAGCCCCGAGGCCGCCGGCCCGCCCCGCGTCAAGGTGGAGCCCGCGGCGCCCGACCAGGAGCAGCAGCAGCACGAGGAGGAGGAGGAGGAGGAGAAGGTCCCGCGGAAGGAGGAGGAGGAGGAAGAGGAGGAGAAGGCGGCGGTGTTCGCCCGCCCGGCGGCCCCGGCGTGGGCGCCCGGCGCGGCTCAGCCCGGCTCGTCCGGGGAGGAGAGCGCGGAGAAGGCGCCGCGGGAGTGCCCCGGCGAGGCCGGCGGCCAAGAGAGGAGGGAGGACGCCCTGATGCCCCCCAAGCTGCGGCTGAAGCGCCGCTGGAACGGAGATTCCCGGCAGGAAGCGCCCGAGGATTCCCGGCCCAACGGGATCTGGCACCTGCCCAAAGCCGTGGCCGCCGCCTCCGACACCTAATCCCGGCCGGAGCGCACAAACCTTGGAGACACCCGGAGCAGCGTCCGTGTATTTATGTAGCAAGGTTGCCGAGCAGTTCGGGATTCAGCGGGGAGGGGGGCGGGCCAGGCCTGGGAATTTTTAGGGAATTTCGGGGGTGGGAGAAGGGAGGGGGGCGGGCAGCTTCGGGCTTTGTGTTGTTTCTGTTGTTGACTTGCAGGTGAAGACGCCGCAATTCCCGCTCGCTTTTCCCGGGAAAAGCCGGCTCCAGCTCCAGGACTGGCACAGAGGAATTCCAGGCGCGGCCTCGGGGCCGCTCCCGGGCCTTTTGGGACACCGGGAATCTCGAGATCCGGGGACGGGGGGGCGGCTTTTTTGGGGTTTTTCGGGGTTTTTTTACGGATGCGAGGTTTTCCCGGCCATCCAGGAGCTGGTTTGGTTCTTCTTTTTTTTTTTTTTTGTTTTTTTTTTTTGTTTTTTTTGGGAAAAGGAGGAGCTTGGGAATTTTGCATCGGGAATTTTGCACTGTCCACGGAGCGGGGCTGGGGCGGGGGGGAAAAGGATTCAGGAAAACTCTCGGAGAATCGGGATGGAGGCCGCGTCGTTCCCGGCGGATTTCCGGGGAAAATTCCCCTTTTCCCGCCTTTCTTTCTCTCTCTCTCTCTCTCTCTCTCTCTCTCTCTCTCAGAAGCCATGAGCAAAACTCCAAACTTTTTCAGGGAATGGGAACGGGAATAACACAAAATTAACCGGATGCCTTTAATCCTAACGCATTAAATATGTTGGGGTTTGGTTTTTTTTGTTTCTGTGTGCCCGGAGCGGGGATTTTTTCCCCGCTCCGGAATCCGTGTGGGTGGAATTTTTGGGAATGCTTGGAAGGAGCGCTGGAATGATTGTGGTGAGTCCCGGGAATGCCGGAATTCCCGGCACCATTCCCAGATTTTTGGACCCTCCCCCGCCCTTTTCTCCCCGTTTGACTCATGCCTTAAAGAAAAGAAAAACAAACCACGTTTGGACTTTTTCTGGGAATTTTTTCCGGGAGCGCTCGGATGTCGTGGATCCTTCCTGGTTTTTGGGGGGAAATCCCAAACGCCGCCGTTCCCCCGCGCAGCAGCGGAATTCCGAAGGCTCCGGATTGGGCTCCCAGCGGGACCGACCCTCGGGAAGCGCCGGGACGGAGCCGGGAGCTGCCCAGGATTCGCTCTCGGAGCTCGGATTTTGGGAATTCCGGGCTGGGGGAGGAAATTCCCTGCTGGGATCCCGGGAGCGATTCCCAAATTCCCAGCCCGGCCGGGCCTGGGACCCTTGGAATGTGCAGTTGGGAGGAGCTGGGGTGGAGAAGCCCTGGATGATCCCAAAAAAGCGACCGGAGAGGCGCCAGGACGAACTCAGGAATCACACGAGGGGCCTTTCCCGGAATTCCCGCAGATCCCAAATCCCAGCGCCGGAACCGTCGGGAGAAACAAAAACAAAAAAAGGGGGGAAAATCCCGGATTTTTCCCACCCCTCCTCTCCAATCCTTTGGAATCAAAATCCCACGGGAAGAGAAGGAAAAAAAGTTGGAATTTTTGTGGCTTTAAAAAAGGATTTTTTGGGATTGCGAGTTTTTTGGGAAGGGTGGGAATGTTGGAGTTTCTCGTCACAGCCATTGCACTGCAAAAAAAAAAAAACAAAAAACAAAACCAAGATTAAAAGTGGAAATGAAAATAAAAAACTTGGGAGAGTTCAGGGAATTCCGGACTCAGGACGACGGATCCGGCGCCTCTCGGGAATTCCAGAATTCCCAACGGAGCCCAGGAGGAGGAAAAACAAAAAGAAAAAGCAGGAAGAGGAGAAGGAAAAGGTCAAAAAAAACCAAAAACTGATTTAAAGGAAAAAAAAATCAACCAGATCAAAATTTTATGAAAAAAATCTGAAATTTCAAGGAAAAATTCCTAAAATTCCACCGTGCCAAACCATTGAACAACAAACAAACCCATGGGAAGTTGGGAATGGTTGGAATTCTCTCCTGGACGAATTTGCCCCGGAGCATGATCCCGTTTTTTCCAGCAGTTGTTTTTTTTTTTTCGTTAATTTTGCTTCTTTTTCGTAGCAAATCCGTAGGAAAAATGTTTAAAAAATCAAAAAGTTAAAAAAAAAAAAAAAAGACTTTTTGATGGGACAGCCCCAAACAGGGGCAATTTTTGGGGAGGAATTTCCCCAAGAAGGAGGAAAAGGAGGAAAAATCCAACAGCATTAATGGGGTTGTCCCGGATTTTTTTATTTATTCCATAATTATGTTGAGGTTTTTTATTATTTTAAGCTGTTATTCCGTTGGTTTCTTTCTTTTTTTTCGCGTCTCAGCATCCTGGTGGGATTAAAAATAAAAACCCAGGAATTTTCTCTCGGTTGAAATCATCAAAACTCCGGAAAAACTTTGGATTTTCCGGGAAATACTTTGATTTTTTAGCGCTTTTTAAACCGATATTTACGCTTTTTTTCGGGTTGAAAAAACCCCTTTTTCGAGGGATTTTGAGGGATTTGAACTCTCCCCGGTGGGAATCCGGCAGGAATCCTTCGGGAAAATCGATGGAATTTGGGGACGGGGAGCGTGGCTTTGTACATAGGGTGTAAAGTAGAGGGGCAAAAAAAAAAACAAAACAAAAAAAAAAAGACAAAAAATCCGAAATTTGTGCCTTTAAAATTAAATTCCGATTTCTATTAAAATCAGATTTAAGAAAGGGTTGCATATATATATTATATATATATATGATGGAATGCTAGAGAAATTTATGGATAATATACATATTTTTTTCCAGGGGTATCCCATAGCTCCGTATTTTGTTATGGAAGTTGAAAAAAAAAAAACACGGAAAAAAGTTAAAAAAAAAAAGCGAAAAATAAAAGTATTTTACCTCGAATTCAGAACGTTAAATAAAAACCTTTTAACAGAGAGGCACCGCTGCTTTCTTTGGGGCTTTTCCTGAGGTTTCCCCGGGATTTGGGATTTTGGGGTTTTTGGGTGTCCCCAAATCTACACTGTCCCCATGTCCCCAAGTCTTTTATGTCCCCAAATCCTCACTGTCCCCATGGGTGTCCCCAAATCTTTGGTGTCCCCAAATCTACGCTGTCCCCATGTCCCCAAATCCTCACTGTCCCCAAATCCACACTGTCCCCATGGGTGTCCCCAAACCTGCAGTGTCCCCGCTGTCCCCCACACGCCGAGGTCACCCTGTGCCCCATCAAATCCTCACTGTCCCCTCACCTCCCCACACACACACAGACACTGTCCCCGTGGCTGTCCCCACACTGTCCCCTGTGTCCCGAGGTCACTCTGTGTCCCCAGACCCGCACCCCGAGGTCACTCTGTGTCCCCCTCCCTCTGTCTCCGTTACCTCCCACACCCCCAGGACAACATGTCCCCCTCAAACCCGCACTGTCCCCTGTGTCCCCTCCCTGTCTCCTCTGTCCCTCACACCGAGGTCGCTCTGTGTCCCCAGACCCGCACTGTCCCCTGTGTCTCCTCCCTGTCCCCTTTATCCCCCACACCCGAGGTCTCTCCGTGTCCCCTCCCTGTCCCCTCTGTCCCTCACACCGAGGTCACTCTGTGTCCCCAAACCCTCCCTGTCCCCTCCGTCCCTCACACCGAGGTCGCTCTGTGTCCCCAGACCCGCACTGTCCCCTGTGTCCCCTCCCTGTCCCCTCTATCCCTCACACCGAGGTCTCTCCGTGTCCCTCCCTGTCCCCTCTGTCCCTCACACCGAGGTCTCTCCGTGTCCCCTCCGGGCCGCCCCGCGGGCGCTGCCGGGCTCTGAGGGCCAGGCCGGGCATTGGAGCTGCTCCCGGGGCTGGGCCGGGCCGGGCATTGGCGCTGCCCCAGGCCCGGAGGGGCCGGGCGAGCCCGGGGATTGGAGCTCCCGGGCCGGGGATCGGAGCTGCCCGGGCCGGGATTGGAGCTCCGGGCCCGGGGATCGGAGCTGCCCCGGGGCTGGGGTTGGAGCTGCCCGGGGCTGAACGAGCCCGGGGATTGGCGTTCCCGGGGCCGGGGGTTGGAGCTCCCGGGGCCGGGATTGGCGTTCCCGGGGCCGGAGGGGCTGAACGAGCCCGGAGATTGGCGCTGCCGGGCCGGGATTGGCGCTGCCGGGGCCGGGGATTGGCGTTCCCGGGGCCGGGGATTGGAGCTCCCGGGCCGGGATTGGCGCTGCCCGGGGCCGGAGGGGCTGAACGAGCCCGAGGATTGGCGCTCCCGGGGCCGGGATTGGCGCTGCCCGGGCCGGGGATTGGCGCTCCCGGGGCCGGGATTGGAGCTCCGGGGCCGGGGATTGGCGTTCCCGGGGCCGGGATTGGCAGCAGCCCCGGGGCTCTGCTCAGCCCGGCCCCCGGCGGGAGGGGCCGCGCCCCAGAGCCGGGCCGGGCCGGCACCGAGCGCACCGGGGCCGGCACCGAGCGCGGCCGGGCCCGCGGGGGTCGCTCGGGGCCCGCGGGGGTCGCTCGGGGCCCCGAGGCCGCCGGGCCGGGGATGGTGGCGGGGCCGGGCGGGCCGGGGCGGCGGCTCCGGGCCCGGCCCTGAGGGAGCCGCACCATGAGCGTGCGGCCTCCGCAGGCCCCGGACAGGTACGGCCGGCGGGTCTGGGGGGAAACCCGGCGGGTTTGGGGCTGCGGGAGCGGGCACGGGGTTTGGGGGGAAACCCGGCGGTTTTGGGGGAAACCCGGCGGTTTTGGGGCCGCGGGAACGGGCACGGGGTTTGGGGGGAAACCCGGCGGTTTTGGGGGAAACCCGGCGGTTTTGGGGCCGCGGGAGCGGGCACGGGGTTTGGGGGGAAACCCGGCGGTTTTGGGGGAAACCCGGCGGTTTTGGGGCCGCGGGAGCGGGCACGAGGTTTTGGGGGGAAACCCGGCGGTTTCGGGGGAAACCCGGTGGTTTTGGGGCTCTGGGAGCGGGCACGGGGTTTTGGGGGGAAACCCGGCGGTTTTGGGGCCGCGGGAGCGGGCACGAGGTTTTGGGGGGAAACCCGGCGGTTTTGGGGCTGCGGGAGCGGGCACGGGGTTTTAGGGTGAAATTCGGGGGTTTTGGGGCTCTGGGAGGGGGCTCGGCTGCTCCGGGAGCCGCCAGGGCGGTCCTGCGGGGAAAAGCGGCGGTTTGGGGTGAAATGCCGGGATTCGGAGTGTTCTGGGGTGAAATGCCGGCATTTGGGGTGAAATGCCGGGATTCAGAGTGTTCTGGGGTGAAATGCCGCATTTGGGGTGAAATTCGGGGCTTAGAGGGGGCTCAGCTCGTCCAGGACTCCGCGCTGGGTCCCTGCAGTGTTTTGGGGTGAAATGCCGGGATTTGGGGTGAAATGTCAGGATTTGGGGCACTTGGGGGTGAAATGCTGGGATCTGGGGTGTTTTGGGGTGAAATTCCAGGATTTTGGGGCTCTGGGAGGGGGCTCAGCTCGCCCTGTAGCCCTCACCCCATTCCTTGAGGGGAGAGACTGGAATTTGGGATAAAATTCTGGGATTTTGGGAATGAGGGGACTCAGCCCATCCCGTATTTCCATGAATCCCTCAGGGGAGCAGCGTTTTGGGGTAAAACTCCCGGATTTGGGGAGTGGGGGGGGAATATCCCGAACTTCCCTGATTTTTGAGATATTTCCAATATCCGCCACCAGGAATTGGCTTTTCCCCAGTTTGTTTGGCTCCATTTTAAACCAAATTTGGGGATTTTTTTTGGTGGGATAAAGCCTTGGAAAACCCTGGAGCTTCTTCTGGGATAAATTCAGGAATCTGGCCGAGAATTCCTGGATTGGGATCTCTGCTCCAGCCACGGCATTTCCCACATAGATTTGGGTGGGAAATGAGGGATTTGGGGCCCTGGGAGAGAGGCAGATCCCGGGAATTTCAGGGATCATTTTCCCACCAGATCCTGAGGATTTTTCCTGCTTTTCCCATCCCAGAGAACTCCAGGATTCCCGGGGCTGGTTCATTTGGGATTCCAGGGCCCAATCCTGGATCCTATCCCAGGTCATTCCGTGGATTCCCCATCCCTGGAAGTGCCCAGTTCCCATCCCGGGGATTTCAGGATCCCTCCTGGCTGCGGAATTCCGCGGGAATGGGGAAAGGATCCCCCCCGGGACAGGGAATTGCAGGAGGCGGAATTCCGGCCCAACCAGCTCTGCCACTTCCCACTTCCCCGGGAGCGGCTCCGTTAATCATTACCCTGCCGGGAATTCTTCCTGGAGAATTCCCGTGGAGAATTCCCGAAAAGAAAACCCAAACAACTGGGAAAAACCCGGGAAAAACTCCCGTTTTCCCAACATTTGGGATCGTTTTCCCAACATTTGGGATCGCTCCACGTTCCGGGTGGTGTCGTCCCGTTGGGATCCCCTCCCACCCCTTCCCAAAAAAGGGTTTGGGATTCCCAGCTGGAAAATCCCATGGAAGTCTGGGATAAGTCAGGGTTTAAAGCAGGGAAAACGGGGAAAATTCCCATTTCCCAACTTTTCTGACCACTGTGTTCCTTCCCACACTGGAATTGGAATTCCCAGCTGGAAAATTCCATGGAAACCTGGGATAAACCAGGGTGGAAAGCAGGAAAAATGGGAAAAAAACCCATTTTCCAACTTTTCTGACCCCTGGCCTCCTTTCCATCTTTTCCCACAGCAGGATTGGAATTCCCAGCTGGAAAATCCTATGGAAATCTGGGATAAATCAGGGTTTCAAGCAGGAAAAATGGGGAAAAATTCCCATTTTTCTCCGGCCTCTCCGTGGTTTTTCCTGGTGTTTTTCCAGGGAGAGCAGCGGAGCCGCAGCCCCCGGCAGGGAGGGAACCAAATGTTGCAAATCCGAGGAGAAATTCCAGCGGGATCCAAACTCCCGGAATTCCTCCCAGGACTCGGCGGCCGCCCTCGGAATGTGGGAAAGAAAAAAACTTTCCCTGAGATCCCGAGTTTTTGTTAATTTGGGAATGGAAGGCGAAAGTTCCCACATTCCCTGTGGGAAAGGGGTTTGGGAATTCGGGGTTGTTCCCGAGAAATTTGGTGGGGGCTCCTCGGAGATCCCGGATTTCCTGGGGGACGTTCCCAAAAAACAAACCCGGGAATGAGCGGCAGGGTTTGTGATTGAGGGAAGAGCTGGGAATTGTGGCTTTATCCTGCAGCATTCCCAATAAAAACACTCGGGAATTCTCTGGGAAGAGCCCTCCAGGTCCTCCCGGCTGCCCCTGGAATTCTGCTTTTCCTTGGAAAACCACAGCGTGGTCAGAAAAGTTGGAAAATGGGGTTTTCCCCCTTTTTTCCTGCTTTCAGCCCTGGTTTATCCCAGGTTTCCTTGGGATTTTCCAGCTGGGAGTTCCAAACCTGTCTCGGGAGGGAACCCAGTGGGCAGAAATGTTGGGAAAAGGGAATTTTTTTCCCCTTCCAAGCTGTGTTTTTTTGGGAATTTCGAATTTTTGGGACTTGGGAAGGGAGAGCAGGGCTGGGGTCCATCCGGAGGTGCCGCTGGAATGGGAATTGTGGGAAGTGCCCTAGCTCGGCCGCCCCTGAGGCAATTAAGGAGCTTTAATTAAGCCGAATTAAACGACTTTTTTATAGCCTCGTTAAGCCCTGGCTGCTTCCAGAGGGGCAGGAGAAGCCTCTGGATCCCTTTGGATCCCCCTGGCTGGGATTTGGGCATTCCTGGAATTGTGGTTTTGAAGGAAAAGCAGCTCGGGAATGCCATGGACCCTGGAATTTGGGGATTTTTGGGGAGGAAAAAAAGGGATTTTGGGTGGATAAAAAAGGCTGACCTGGGCTGGACCGTGGATAATCCCGAGGGTTAATCCCGATTTTCCTCCGGATTGGCGGGGAATGTCCAGGGCAGGGCCCAGGTCTGTGGCTGCTCATGGAAAAGGGGCTGGAAAATCCTGAGGGGCTTTTCCGGGGATTTTTTCCTTAGGGGGAGCTGATCCTGGAGAAAAGGGGGATCCAGGGGGGATTTGGGATTTGCCAGGGGGATTTTGGATCTGATCCCAGGGGGAATTTGGGATCTGATCCCAGGGGGGATTTGGGATCTGATCCCAGGGGGGGATTTGGGATCTGATCCCAGGGGGAATTTGGGATCTGATCCCAGGGGGAATTTGGGATCTGATCCCAGGGGGGATTTGGGATCTGATCCCAGGGGGAATTTGGGATCTGTGAGGGGGATTTGGGATCTGATCCCGGGGGAATTTGGGATTTGCCAGGGGGATTTGGGATCTGCCAGGGGTCCTCTCCGGCTCTCTGGGAGTGACCGGGGCATTCCCAGTAATTCCCGAATTCCCGTTGCCGTCCCAGGCTGAGCAGCCTCTCCTCGGCCCTGGGCGATTCCCCCTCGGAGCGAAGGTCCCCCGGCCACCACCGGCAGCCCTCGGACGCCTCGGAATCCACAGGTGGGAATTGGCCTCGGGAATTCCGGCACTCAGCGGTCACTCAGCGGTCACTCAGTGGTCACTCTGCGGTCACTCATGGCCAGGATGCGGGTCCAGACCTTCTGTTGGGATTTGGGGGTTTGGGGTCCCACAAGGGGGAATGCGGGGCTGGGAAGTCCAGGGTGGCCACAGGGGCTGGTGGCCAGGGCTGGACAGTGACCACGAGGTCAGGGCTGGACAGTGACCACGAGGCCGGAGCTGGACAGTGACCACGAGGTCAGGGCTGGACAATGTGTGGCCACAGGGCCTGGTGGTTGGGGCTGGACAGTGACCCCAAGGCCTTGCAAGCCCCGGTACCGGGGGTTCCTCAGGGCCAAAGCCGGACTCCAGCGCCTCATTCCCCACCTTGCTCCTGTTCCTCTGTCCCCATGTCCGTGTGTCCGTGTGTCTGTGTGTCCGTGCCCGCAGAGCTGGTGCAGCGCTGCGTGGTCATCCAGCGGGACCAGCATGGCTTCGGCTTCACCGTCAGCGGCGACCGCGCGGTGCTGGTGCAGTCCGTGCGGCCAGGTGGGCACCGGCCGGACCGGCCGGACACCGGGGTGGACACGGGGGTGGACACGGGGATGGACACGGGGATGGACAGACAATGCCCAGGGCTGCCCTCATCCATCCCCAGCCTCAGCTTGGGGGAGAAAATGGGGGAAAAAGGAGAAAAACAGGGGAGAAAATGGAGAAAAATGGCGGGAAAACGGGGGAGAAAATGGCGGGAAAACGGGGGAGAAAATGGCGGGAAAATGGGGGAGAAAATGGCGGGAAAGTGTGGGAGGAAAATGGCGGGAAAACGGGGGAGAAAATGGCAGGAAAACGGGGGAGGAAAATGGCGGGAAAGTGTGGGAGGAAAATGGCGGGAAATTGAAAAAATTGAGAGAATGAGGGAAAAACAGGCAGAAAATGAGGGGGAGGTGGAGGGAAAATAGAGAAAATGGGGGAAATGTGGGAAATTGTGGGGAAAATGGCAGGAAAATTCAGAAAATGGGCAAGTGTGGGGAAAATGTGGGAAAACTGGGGGGAAAGGCGGGAAAATAGAGAAAATGTGGGAAAATGGAGGGAAAATGTGGGATAAATGGGGTTTTCCTTGGGAAGCGCTCCGGGTTTGGGGGTTTTGCTTTGGGATTGGCTGGGATGGGGCTGAGGGAGCAGGTCAGGGGGTGTCCCCGTGGAATATTCCAGAGGAAATCTGGGATCTGCTCCTGACCCCTGCCCGTGTCCAGGTGGGGCTGCCATGAGGGCCGGGGTGCAGGAGGGCGACCGGATCCTCAAGGTGGGCATTCCCAAGTCGCGCGTTCCTGGCAGCCTCCCCGCGTTCCCGGGGAAAATTCCCGGTTTCCCGGCCCTTCCCCAGCCCTGTCCCGGCTCTTCCAGGTGAACGGGACCATGGTGGCCAACAACTCCCACCTGGAGGTGGTGAAGTTGATCAAGTGTGAGTCTGGGCTGGAATTCTGGGAATTCTCTTCCCGTTCCGTGGGGAAAGGTGGGGCTGGGGGAAGGGGAGAACATTTTCCATCCTTTGGGGAATTTGGGGGGAGCCTGGAGGTGTTTCCAGCCCTTTTCCCCACATTTTTCCAGGAAATCCTTCTTGTCCCTCATCCCAAATTCTCCCTGGAAATGCTTCCCACTCCCAGTTCACCTGGAAATTTTTTCTTGGGAATTCTCCCTGGAAATCCTTCTCGCCTCTTTTCCCAAGCTTTTCCAGGGAATCTTTCTCACCCCCTTTATCCCAGGCATTTCCTGGAAATCCTTCCCCCCCATTTTCCTGGAGATCCTTCTCGCTCCCTTTTCCCAGTTGTTTTTTGGAATCTCCCTCCTCCCCTCTTATCCCAAATTTTGTCAGGAAATTCTTCTCCTGGAATTTTTTGCCTGGAATTTTTTCCCGTGTCAGTTTTCCCTGCAAGCCCTGCTCCCAGCCCTGTTATCCCAGACTTTTCCTGGAATTCCTGCTGACGTTCCCGTCTCCCGTTCTGTTTCCAGCCGGCGCCTACGTGGCCCTGACCCTGCTGGGATCCCCCGCCGGACCCGCGGGAATTCCGGGATCCCAGCAGGAGCCGGAGCCCTCGGGGTGTCCCCAGGGGCCCCCCCAGCTCATCACGGAGCCCAGGCCCCTCCAGGTGAGCCGCAATTCCAAAGGGGTCCTGCAATTCCAGAGGGAACCCAGAATTCCCTCAAATGACCCCAAAACTCCCCCAGGAGATCCCGGAATTCCCTGAGGGGATCCCAACCCCCTCATACCCATTTCCATTGCCATCCCGTTCCCATTATTCCCATTATTCCCATTATTCTTGTTCTTGTTCCCATTCCCATGATTCCCATTCCCATGATCCCGTTCCCACTATTCCCATTAATTCCACCCTTCCCTCCCATTCCCATTATTCCCATTATCCCATTATCCTGTTATTCCCATTATCCCATTATCCCCCCATTCCTGTTGTTATTCCCATTGCTGTTCCCGTTGCCATTCCCGTTGTCATTCCCGTTTTTCTCCCCCCATTCCCGCTGTCATTCCCGTCGTTATTCCCGTTATTCCCGTTGTTATCCCGTTGTCCTTCCCACAGGACCCCGAGGTGCGGAAGCACGCGGCGGAGATCCTGCAGAACATGCTGCGCCAGGCTGAGGCCGAGCTCCAGGTGCTGCCGCCTCGCTTTCCCTCTGCTCCCCGTTTTTTGGGGGGATTTGGGGCCTTTCTCGGAATTTCCTGGGATTTTTTTTGTGGGTTTTTGGTTTTTTTTTATTTTCTGGGTTTTTTTTTTTCACTGTTTTTGGGGATTTTCTGGGGTGGTTTTTTTGGGATTTCCTGGTGGTTGTTACGTCCCATTTTCCGCATTTTCGGTGTTTTCCTGGGATTTCCCGGTGCCCTCTCTGTCCCATTCCCGGATTTCCCGGTGACTGTTCCGTCTGACTCCCGTGTTTTCCCGGGTTTCCCGCAGCGCTGCCAGGCGGGCGCGGCGGGGCAGGAGCAGCTGGAGGCGGCGCGGCGGCGCCTGGAGCAGCTGAAGCTCAAGGTGCTGCAGGAGGTACGGGGGGAATGCCGGGAATGGGCCGGGAATGCCGGGAGTGGGCCGGGAATGGGTGTGGGAATTCTGGGAGTGGGTATAGGAATGGCCTGGGAATTCCGTGAATGGGCCAGGAATTCCAGGAGTGGGTACAGGAATGGGCCAGGAATTGCGGGAATGGGTACAGGAATGGGCTGGGAATTCCTGGAGTGGGTGGGGGAATGGATACGGGAATGGATACGGGAATGGGTGCGGGAATGGGTCTGGGAATGGGCCGGGAATTCCAGGAGTGGGTACAGGAATGGGCCAGGAATTACGGGAATGGGTACCGGAATGGGTACGGGAATGGGCTGGGAATTCTGGGAGTGGGTGCGGGAATGGGTATGGGAATGGGCCGGGAATTCCGGGAATGGATATGGGAATTCTGGGAGTGTGTACAGGAACGGGTATGGGAATTCCATGAGTGGATCTGGGAGTTTCCCATCGCTGCCAATTCCTGGGAGCTCCCGGAATTGCCCATTCCTGCACTGGGAATTCCCAGGGTTCTCCTTTCCTGCCTTTCCCACCATCCCAAATCCGCGTTTCCCGGGAATTCCCCAGTCCCGCTGTTCCCAGTCCCAGGATTCGGGGTCCCGGCCCCTGGAGGGGGAATTCCGCCGGAGCCTGGCGGGGTCCCCGCAGCTCCCGGGACGATTCCCGCGGGATCCCCGGGATGGGGACCCGGGGCTGGAATCCGGCCCCGAGCGGCTCCCGGCCCTGGCAGAGGTGAGGGAAAATCCAGGAAAAATCCGGGAAAAGGGAGGGAAGAGTTTGGGAAAATCTGGGAAAAATCTGGGAAAAGGGAGGGAAGAGTTTGGGAAAATCTGGGAAAAGTCCGGGAAAAGGGAGGGAAGAGTTTCGGCAAATCTGGGAAAAGAGGGAGGAACTGCAGGGAAAATTTGGGGAAATTCTGGGAAATGAAGGGAAATTCGGGAAAAGGGGGTGAAAATCCCAAGGAAACTTTGGGAAAAGAGTGAAAGTTCCAGGTAAATTTTGGGAAAAAAGGGGGGAAATTCAGGGAAAAGAAAGGGAAATAATTCCAGGAAAAAGTTGGGGAGAGAGGATGAAAATTCTAGGAAAAACTCCATGAAAAGTTTGGGAAAAGGGGGGGAAATTCCAGGAGAGGGAGAAACTCCCCCCAGATTTTGGGATCCCCCGGAATTCCCAGCTCTTTTCCCTTCTCTGGCCGTTTTCCCTGGGAATTCCGAGGGAATTTGGGATTCCCGCCTGCCTTGGGGGGTTTCTGGGGGTCCTGATCCCGAAATTCCCCTCCCCAGGTATCCCGGAATTCCGGCTTTTCCCAGCCCGGCAGCCCCCGGAGCTCCCCCGTGCTCGGCTCCCGCCTCGCCACGGATCCGGTGGGGCTGGAAAATCCTGGGAGAATCCCGGGAAATCCCGGGAATCCCCACAGGGACCCCCCAGAGCCCTTCCCCGGAGCTTGATCCCGGTTTTTTTTTTGGGATAGGGATCAGGGAGGCCCCAGATCATCGGTCCCGAGGAGGATTGTGAGCCCGGGAGCGGCAGCAGCGAGGTGAGAATCCCGGGAAAAGTGGGAATTCCTGGGGGCCTGGGAATTCCGGGGGATTCTGGGTGGGATTTCTGAGGGGATTTTTGGGATTTGTGGATTCCAGGTGGGATTTTTGGGATCCTGGCAGCCGCCACTTTTCCCTCTCTGTGTTCCCAGAGTGACTCCGTGTTCCAGGATTTGGGAATTCTCAAATCCCGCCCGGCCCATTTGGGAGTTTTCCTGAGGTTCCTCTTCTCCCAGGCCGATCCCACCCCTCTGGTGAGGAATTCCCAAAATTCCCGGGATTTTCTGCCCCCTGGGATCCCATTCCCGACCCCGGCGCCTCCCTGAGCGTTCCCAGGGGTCTGGATGGAGCCAAATTCCCGGGATTTCCTCAGCATTCCCGGGGTTCCCTCAGCATTCCCGGGGTTTCCTGCCCTGGCATTCCCAGAATTCCAGCTGCTCCCGCTTTTCCTGCAGCTGTTCCACCTGTGCTCCGAGGTTTGCTGCCAGCAGAGCAATCCCAGGGATTCCCGAGCCCTGGGAAGGCACATCTGGAACATCTTCCTGGACAGGAGCGCGGTCAGCAAATTCCCGGGATTTCCCCGGAATTCCTGGGATTTGGGGGCAATTCCTGGGATGTGGGGGCAATTCCTGGGATTTGGGGGCAATTCCTGGGATTTTTTTTGGGATTTAAAGGGATTTTGGGAGGATTTTCCAGGATTTTGGGATGGATTTCCTGGGATTTTGGGAGGATTTTGGGATGCTTTTCCCAGGATTTTGGGATGGATTGTGGGATGGATTTCCGGGAATTTGGGATGGATTCCCCGGGATTTTCTGGATGGATTTCTGGGATTTTGGGATCCTTTTCCCTCTTTTCCAGCCCCTGCGGGTGAAGGTGCCGGAGCAGCTCCTGGCCGAGATTGGTGAGTTTGGAATTCCGGAAATTTCCCCCGGGAAAAGGAGCCCAGGGCCCGGTTTGGGAATTCCAAACTTTTCCCAGAGCCCCAGGAAAGCTGGGAATGAGAGGAGCACCCGGATCATTCCCAAAACCTGGAGAATTCCCCAAAGAACTTGGGCTCCAATCGGGATCCCAGAATTCCCAGACTTTTCCCGGAATCCCAAAAAGCCAGGAGAAGTTTGGGGCTGAGCCCCGGGATTCCCGAAATCCCGAATTTCCCCAATTCCCAGAGCTCCACCTGCGGAACGGCGAGGAGCTGCGGCCGGCGCTGCTGGAGGCTCAGGAATTCGTCATCCCGGAAATCCAGGAGCAGCTCCAGGACTACAGGTGGGAAAACCCCAAAAATCCCAGAAAATCCCCAGAAAACCCCGGGAAAATCCTGGAAAATCCCCGATCCTGGAAATTCCAGAAGCTCCTGTCTCTTTTTTTGGGCAAAGCCTCTGGAAAACCCCGGATTTTGGGAGTTTTGGACCTCCCAATCCTGGTTTTTTTTGGCTTTTTCCCAGCAGAACCTGAGGAAAATCCCAAATTTTGGGAAATTTGGGACTTTTTGGGTGCTGCTAATTCAGTTTTTTTTTTTTTTGGCTTTTCCCAGAGAAGCACGTGGCAGACCTGGGATTTTGGGACTTTTGGGAATTTTTGGGCTCTCCCCATCCCGGATTTTTGGCTTTTCCCAGAGAACCAAGCAGCAGACGCTGCATTTTGGGAATTTCAGGAATTTTGGGAGTTTTTGGGCACTGCCATTCCCGGATTTTCGGCGTTTCCCGGCAGGGCCAAGCGCACGCTGGGGCTGGGCGGGCTCTACGGGGAGAACGAGCTGCAGCAGCTGGAGCAGCTGGAACAGCTGGAAAAACACCTGGAAAAGGCTCCGGAGCAGCCGGAGGAGCCGCGGGAACGCCGGGAATGCCGGGAACGCCGGGAGCGGGCGGCGGCCGAGCGGCAGCTGGGACACCTCGGGGACATCCTGTGAGTGTGGGATCATCCGGAATTCCCGTGGGATTTGGGATTGGCACCTCGGGGACATCCTGTGAGAGACGGGAACCAGGAGTTCCTGATGGGATCTTTGGGAATTCCAGATGGGAGGGATCTTTGGGGATTCCCCACGGGATTCGGGGCTGGAATGGGAATTTTGGGATTGGGAACTGGAATTTGGGCTTGGGGAATGGAAGAATCCAAGGAATTCCTTTTCCCGCAGCTCCAAGTACGAGGAGGAGCGGAGGTGAGCGGATCCAGCTGGAAAAAATCCGGGAATTTGGGCCATTCCCGATTTTCCCTGTGGAAACTTCTCCCTTTTTCCCTTCCCTCTTTTCCCTCCCCTTCCCAGTTTTCCCTGTGGATCCTTTCCCTGGAATTCCCAGTTTTCCCTCTTTCCCCTCTCCCAGCGGATCTGAGCCCCTTGGAATTCCAGGAATCCCAGGATTTCCGGGAATTCTGCCCTTCCCACCCTCTGGAATTCTCTTTCCCAGCGCTCCCATGGCCTTCGCCCTCAGCACCTTCATGGCCCACGCCGGGATCCGGCCCCGGGAATTCCGGGAATTCCGGGAATCTCAGAATCCCGGCGCCTCCGAGAAGATCCCAGACAAGGACAAGTGGCTGCCCTTCTTCCCCAAGGCCAAAAAGGTGGGAATTGCCAGGAATTCCCAGGAATTCCTGAGGATTCCCGGGAAAAGCTCTGGGGGAGGGAATCCCGGGAATTTTCACCCAAGTCCTGGGAATTTTAGACCTGAGTTCCAGGATTTTTTTCCAGGATGGGAAATTCGGGATTTGGGATGGCAATTTGGGATTTAGGACGGGAATTTGGGATTTGGGCTGGGAATTTGGGCTGTGGGCCGGGGAATTCCCGGGTTTCCGAGCGCTTCCAGGACTCTTTCCCAACAGAGCAGCAGCTCCAGGAAGGAGAAGGAGCAGAGGCAGAACCCGATCCTGAAATACATCGGGAAGCCCCGGAGCTCCTCCCAGAGCAGTGAGTGCTCCGGAATTCCCAAATCCGGGAATGCCGGGAGCTGCCTGGAATTTCTGGGGAATTTCCTGCCATTTCCTGGGAATTTCCTGCTATTTTCCTGGCATTTTCCTGGGAATTTCCTGGCATTTTTCCCTGGAATTTCCTGGCATTTTCCTGGGAATTTCCCCTGGAATTCCCCCAGCTCCCCTGGAATTCCCAGATCCCGGCCTCATTCCTGCGTTCCCATCCCGTTTTTCTCCGCTCTCATCCCATCAGCATTCCCCAATTCCCGGTTTTTCCCCAGGATTTTGGGAATTTTGACATCTCCTCTTTGTTTTCCAGCATTTCATGTCCCCCTGTCCCCCACGGAAGGTAAAAATTCCCGAATTTTTGTTGCTTTTCCTTCATTTTTTCCTCATTTTTTTCTCCCTTGCTTTTGGGGCTTATTCCCATTCTTTCTTCCCCAGTGAAATTCCTGGGAATTTGGGGGAGTTGGGATTTGGGATTTAGGATCAGGGTTTGGGATTCAGGTTGGATTTGGGAATTTGGGATTTGGGAGGGAAATTTGGGATTTAGTAGGGAAATTGGGGGTTTAGGATTTAGGAAGGGACTTCAGGATTTAGGAAGGGAAATTCGGGAATTAGGATCAGGTTTGGGAATTGGGAATTTGGGATTTCGGAGGGAAATTGGGGGTTTAGGATTCAGGATGGAAACTTCGGGAACCAGGATCAGGTTTGGGATTTGGGCTGGGAATTCAGGCTGGAAGTTTGGGGTGGGGATGGGGCTCCGGGCGGATCCCCAGCCGGAATTCCGGGTTTTTCCAGGCGGGAAGCCGGGCAGCGTCCGGACCATGATCCAGCACTTTGAGAACGGGCACGGGGAGCCCCCGGAGCCGGAGCCGGGCCCGCAGCGCCGCTCCACCGGCAGCGTTCCCGAGGGGCTGCTGGAGCCCGCCAGGTGCCCGCGGGAGGCCGGAATGCCGGGGGTCCCAAACCCTGGGGTTGTTCCTCAAAATTCCGGGCTTTCTCCCCCGAAATCCTGGGATTTTCCCCAAAATCACGTGATTTTTTTTTCCCCCAAAATCCTGGGTTTTTCCCTAAAATCCCAGGGGTTTTCACCTCAATCCTGGGGGTTTCACCTGAATCCCGTGGGTTTTCCCTAAATTCTGGTGTTTTTCCCTAAAATCCTGGGGGTTTTCATCTAAATCCCAAGGGTTTTCCCTAAATCCCGGGGGTTTCACCTGGGATATTTTGGCCTGGAATCCTGGGATTTTTGCCGGGAATCCCAGGATTTTTCCTGGAATTCCCATTTTTCCTCGGGAATTCCCTGTTTTCTAGCAGCTCCCGGGGCGAGCTGTGCCTGATCCGGGGGTTTCCCCTCTGAATCCCGGGATTTCTGCCATGATTCCTGGGGGTTTTTGCCTGGAATCCCGGGGTTTTTTGCCGGAATTCCGGAATTCTCGCTGTTCCCGGCAGCTGCCGGGCCGAGGTGCGCCTGGGCCGCTCGGAGTCGCTGAAGGGGCGGGAGGAGCTGCGGCGCTCCCGGCGCGCCGAGCCCGTGCCCCGATCCCGCAGCGACGTGGACATGGACACCGGGAATTCCGGGAACGCCGGGAGCGCCGGGAGCACCGGGAGCGACACCCCCCGGCTGCACTCGGCCTCCTCCTCCGCCTCCAGCCTCTCCAACAGGTGGGGAAATCCTGGAATTCCCAAAATTCCCACAACTCCAGACCCGGATTTGGTGTTTGGGATGGAAGTCTGGGAAAGGAGGGAAAATTGGGCTCAGGGAATGTTTGGGATTTGGGGTTTTGGGGAATGGGACTGAGGGGGTTGGACAGAGGGGATTTTTCCCTTCAGGTCCCAGATTCCTGCGGAATCCTTGGAAAGATCCACGGACTGTAATGGGGTTTGGGGTTGAATCCCTGGATTTCGAGGGTGAACTCATCAGGATCGGGGAAAATTTGGGATTTTGGGACACCCCAGGGGGATTTTTCCATTCTTTTCCCAGATCCCTGGAAAATCCCACCCCCCCTTACACGCCAAAGATGGGGCGCAGGTGAGTGACCCCCGCCCGGAATTCCCATTCCCACTTTTCCCAGTTTTCCCATGTTTCCCTCTCTTTTTCCCCATTTCCCCCCCATTTTTCCCCCATTTCCCCCCTTCCCTCCCCTTTTTTCCCCATTTTCCCCCCTTTTTTCCCCATTTCCCCCATTGTTCCCCATTTCTCCCCTTTTCCCCCCCAATTTTTCCCGATTTTTCCCAATTCCAGGAGCATGGACTCTCCCTTCGGGGCCGATCCCTTCCTCCCACACCTCCTGGAGGACGAGCAGGGCCCCGTCCCCGACCTGGAGGCGGATCCCGAATCCCAAAATCCCCCGAATTCCCAGAGCTGGCAGCAGAATTCCCCGAATTCCCAGAGCTGGCAGCACTCGGTCAGCCGGGAGCTCCTGGCCAGCCTGTCCCAGCGCGAGGTGGATCGGCAGGAGGTCATCAACGGTACCCAAATCCGGGAATTCCCGGAATTCCGGGGTGTTCCCGGGACCTGGGGAGGCTGGAACTGGGGGCGATGCTTTTTGGGGGGGGCTGCTTCCTGGGATTTGGGGGCTGATTCCCTGTTCTGTGCTGGATTTGGGGTCTCATTCCAAGCCTTTCCCAGGATTTGGGGTCTCGCTCCTGAGATCTGGGGTCTCGCTCTTGGGTCTGGGATCTCATTCCCGTTTTTTTCCCGGGATTTGGGGCTGGTTCTGGGCTGCTGGGGCTGGTTCTGGGCGTCGGGTTCTGCTCCGGGGGCGACTTTTGGAATCGGATTGTCCCCAGTGTGTCCCCAATGTGTCCCAAATGTCCCCAATGTGTCCCCAGTGTGTCCCCAGTGGGGTCCCAAATGTCCCCAATGTCCCCAAGCTGTCCCCAATGTCCCCAATGTCCCTGTGCTGTCCCCAGAGCTGTTTGTCACCGAGCTGTCCCACCTGCGCATCCTGCGTGTCCTGGACTCGCTGTTCCTGCAGCGCCTGCGCCGGGAGCAGCTCCTGAGCCGGGAGGAGCTGGGGCTGCTCTTCCCCAACCTGCCCGAGCTCATCGGCGTGCACAGTGAGCCAGCGCCCAAATCCCGAATCCTGAAATCCTGAAATCCCAGATCCTGAAATCCAAAATCCCTGAAATCCCCAAATCCCAAATCCTGAAATCTCAAATCCCAAAATCCCCAAATCCCAGTCCCTGAAACCCCAAATCCCCAACCCCGAAATGCCAATCCCCAAAACCCCAAATCCCGAGATCCCAATCCCCAGAATCCCAAATCCCAAAATCCCAGTCTCCAGAATCCCAAATCCCAATCCCCAGAATCCCCAACCCCGAAATCCCAATCCATCCCCAAATCCCGATATCCCAATCCCCAGAATCCCAAATCCCAAGATCCCAATCTCCGAAATCCCAATCCCCGGAATCCCAAATCCCAATCCCCAAACCCCCAAACCCCAAATCCCCAATCCCCAAATCCCAAGCCCCGGTCCCCGGCGGCGGTGTCTGACCCCGCTGTTCCCAGATTCCCTCTGGGAATCCATGCGGCGCCTGCGGGAGGAGCAGGGCCCCGTCATCGGCGGCATCGGAGACCTCATGCTGGCCCGGGTGAGCCCGGGAACACCGGGAATTTTGGGAATTTTGGGAGTGCCGGGAATGCTGGGAATTTCAGGAATGCAGGGAATTTGGGGAATGCTGGGAATTCCGGGAATGCCGTGGCTGACTCCCGTTCTGTTCCCAGTTCGAGGGCGCTGCCCAGGAGGAATTCCAGCGCGCCGCCGCCGCCTTCTGCTCCTCGCAGTCGATCGCGCTGGAGCTGATCCGCAGCAAGCAGCGCAAGGAGGCGCGATTCCAGAGCTTCATCCAGGTTTGGGATTTGGGATTGGGATCTGGGGCTTCCAGAGCTTCATCCAGGTTTGGGGTTTGGGATCTGGGGCTTCCAGAGCTTCATCCAGGTCCTTTGGGCTTTGGGGTTTGGGATTTGAGGAAGCAGAGGGGTCAGGAATTTCGTGATTTCAGTACTGGGGGAAGCAGTGAGGTCAGGAATTCCAGGATTCTGGGGCTAGGGGAAGCAGTGAGGTCAGGAATTCTGGGAATCTGGGATTTGGGGCAGCAGAGGGTCAGGAATTCCAGGATCTCAGGGTTTGGGGAACCAAGGAGGTCAGGAATTCTGGGATTTTTGGACTGGAGGGACCAGGGAGGTCAGGAATTCCAGGATTTCGGGGTCTGGGGAACCAGTGGGGTCAGGAATTCCGGGATTTCGGGGTTTGGGGCAGCGGAGGGCTCAGGAATTCCGGGATTCGGGACCGTCCGCGCTCCCAGGAGGCCGAGAGCCAGCCGCAGTGCCGGCGGCTGCAGCTGAAGGATCTGCTGATCGCCGAGATGCAGCGCCTGACCAAGTACCCGCTGCTGCTGGAGAACGTCCTCAAGTGCACCCCGGGTACGGCCAGCAGCACTCCGGAACGTTCCGGGATCCCTCATCCCTTCCCCTGCCCGGATCCCTCATCCCTTCCCTGTAAATCTCACAGTTTTCCCTGTAAATTCCTCATTGTTCCCTGTACATTCCACAGTTTTCCCTGGGTTTTCCCTGGGTTTTCCCTGGGTTTTCCCTATTTTTCCCCCCATTTTTCCCCCCATTTTTCTCCCCACTTTTTCCCTGCATCTTTCCTTGGATTTTGTCCCATTCCTCTGTGGACATTCCTGTGGATTTTCCCCATTATCCCATGGATTTCCCCCATTATCCCTTGTTTTCCCCCCATTATTCCCTGGATCTCCCTGTTCCCAGCGGGCAGCGCGGGGCAGGAGAAGCTGCGGCGGGCCGGGATCGATGACACTGATCCCGTTTTTCCCGTTATTCCCGTTATTCCCGTTTTTCCCGTTGCAGCGGGCAGCGCGGAGCAGGAGAAGCTGCGGCGGGCGCGGGAGCGCAGCCGGGCGGTGCTGCGGGCGGTGAACGAGGCCGTGCGCCGCGCCGAGAACCGGCAGCGCCTGCGCGAGCACCAGCGGCGCCTGGACACCTCCGCACTGGAGCGCTCCAGCAACCCGCTGGCCGCGGAATTCCGGGTACTCCCCACGGGCCGGGCTTTGGGATCGGCTGGAATTCCAGGTGTTCCCCGCTTTTCTGGGGTGAACAGCTGGAATTCCAGGTGTTCCCGCTTTTCTGGGATTTGGGACAGCTGGAATTCCAGGTGTTCCCGCTTTTCCTGGGATTTTGGATGGCCAGAATTCTGGGTGTTCCCACTTTTACCAGGATTTTGGATGGCCAGAATTCCAGGTATTCCCATTTTTCTGGGATTTGGGACGGTCGGAATTCCGTGTGTTCCCACTTTTCCCAGGAGGGACGAGCGGAATTCCAGGTGTTCCCGCATTTCCTGGGATTTGGGACAGCAGGAATTCTGGGTATTCCCACTTTTCTGGGGTGAAAAGCCAGAATTACGGGTGTTCCCACTTTTCCCAGGAGGGATGAGCGGAATTCCGGGTGTTCCTGCTTTTCCCAGGATTTTGAGGTGTTTCCCATGGATTTTGAGGTGTTTCCCATGGATTTTGAGGTGTTTCCCATGGATTTTGAGGTGTTTCCCATGGATTTGGGGTGTTTTCCATGGATTTGGGTTGTTTCCCTGGATTTTGGGTTGTTTCCCTGGATTTTGAGGTGTTTCCCTGGATTTGGGGGCGTTTTCCCAGGATTTTTGGTGTTTTCCATGGATTTTGGGGTGTTTTCCCAGGACTTTAGGGTGTTTTCCATGGATTTTGGGGTATTTCCCGTGGGTTTTGGGTTGTTTCCCTGGATTTGGGGGCGTTTTCCCAGGATTTTGGGTGTTTTCCTTGGATTTTGGGGTGTTTTCCATGGGTTTTGGTCCCGCAGAACCTGGACCTGACCTCGCACCGGATGATCCACGAGGGACCCCTGTCCTGGAGAGTGGGGAAGGACAAAAGCGTGGGTACGGACCGGGGGAACTGGGAGGGACTGGGACAAACCGGGTTCCAAAAATCCCAAAAAAATCCTCCAAAAACTGAAAAAAAAATGAAAATCCCTAAAAATCCCCTAAAAATTAAAAAAAAAAGAAAAAAAAATCACAAAAAAAAATCCCCTAAAAATAAAAAAAGAAATCTGAAAAAATCCCAAAAAAATCCCCAAAAAATCAGAAAAAATCCCAAAAAAATCCCCAAAAAATCCCAAAAAATCCCCAAAAAAATCCCCCAAACCCCCCAAACTCCCTGTCCCCCCAGAGCTGCACGTGCTGCTGCTGGAGGAGCTGCTGGTGCTGCTGCAGCGGCAGGACGAGCGTTGGCTGCTCAAGTGCCACAGCCGCGGGCTGGCGGCCGACACCAAGCAGAGCTTCAGCCCCGTGCTCAAGCTCAGCTCGCTGCTCGTGCGCTCCGTGGCCACAGGTGGGCTGGGAATCCGGGAATTCCGGGAATTCTGGGAATTCTGGGAATGGAATGGGGGTTTGTCTAAAAAAAATGGGGGGTTTCGGTAAAAAAATGGGGTTTTTTTGGGGAGAAATGGGGGTTCAGCCCCATGCTTGAGCTCAGCTCGCTGCTCGTGCGCTCCGTGGCCACAGGTGGGCTGGAAATCCGGGAATTCCAGGAATTCCAGGAATGAAATTAGGGGGAAATGGGGGTTTTCTGTAAAAAAAATGGGGGTTTTCTATAAAAAAATGGGGGGTCTGGGTAAAAAAATGGGGTTTTTTTGCAGGAAATGGGGGTTCAACCCCGTGGCCACAGGTGGGCAGGGGAAAACCTGGAATTTCGTTAATTCCGGGAGTACAACACGGGGAAATGGGATTTCTGTGTAAAAAATTGGGATTTTCTGTTGAGAAAAAGGGATTTTTTTGCGGGGGGAAAAGGGGTGTGGGCATGGGGGTTCAGCTCAGCTTGGTGCTCATCTGCTTTGTGGCCACAAGTGAGCAGGGAAATCCCGGAATTCCGGGAATTTTGGAATGCTGGGAATGGGAATGGGAGGAAACTTGGGAATTCTGGGGCTGGGAATGGGAGGAAATTTGGGAATTTTGTCCTCCCCCATCCCAGACAAGCGCGCCCTGTTCATCATCTGCACCTCGGAGCTGGGACCCCAAATCTACGAGCTGGTGGCGCTGACGTCCTCGGAGAAGAACACGTGAGGGAAATCCTGGAAAATCCCTGGGAAGGGCTGGAAAAGTCCCTGGGGGGACAGAAATCCTTGGGATGAGCCGGAGAATTCCCTGGGGCGACATCCTTGGGAAGGGCTGGAAAAGACCCTGGGGGGATGAAATCCTTGGGATGAGAGGGAAAATCCCTGGGAAGGGCTGGAGTTCCTGGCTGGAGTTCCCGGTTGGAATTCCCGTCTGGAATTGCAGGTGGATGCAGCTGCTGGAGCAGGCCGTCCAAGGGGCCACCAGGAGCCTCCCGGGGCCACCGAAGCAGGAACAGAGCGAGGCCAGCGGGAACGGAGACACCGGGTGGGAATGGCGGTGGGAACAGCGGGATTGTGGGGATGGTGGGAATGGTGGGAACGGGATAATGGCAGCGATGGGAGCGGGGAACGGGATCGTGGCAGCGGGAATGGGGATGGGGTCGGGAATGGGGGAGCTCAGGAGGTTCCTGGTGTCCCCAGAGAGTCCCTGGGATGGGGACTCGGGGCTGGCTGACCCTGTCCCCGTCCTGGTGCCAGCCGTGTCCCATTCCCGTTCCCATTCCCATTCCCATTCCTATTCCCAGCCTGCTGCTGCCGGACCCCGCCGTGTCCCCAGAGCTGGCCCGGGACACCGAGCCCGAGGATTGTTCCTCAGGTACTGCTGGGGCTGTCCCCTCCTGTCACCTCCTGTCCCCATCCCTGTCCCTGTCTGTGTCCCCACTGTCCTGTCCCGCAGCCGGCAGTGACCCCGAGCCCTCGGGAAGGGCCCGAGCCCTGCAGGAGCTGCTGGAGGAGCCACGCGGGGCTGGGCCGGGGGACCCCGACCCCGACCTGGGGCACCCCGACCCCATCCCGGGAACCCCCAAATCCCCGGGAAGCGCCGGAGTGGCTGAGGCAGCGCTGCAGGATGGTGAGAACTCGGGAAAACCCCAAATCCCATTCCCTGGGAAAACCCAAAATCCCCAAATATCCTCTCTCCATTCCCTGGAAAAACCCCAAATCCCCAAATATCCTCTCTCCATTCCCTGGGAAAACCCCAAATTCCCAAATATCCTCTCTCCATTCCCTGGGAAAAACCCAAATCCCCAAATATCCTCTCTCCATTCCCTGAGAAAACCCCAAATCCCCAAATATCCTCTCTCCATTCCCTGAGAAAACCCCAAATCCCCAAATATCCTCTCTCCATTCCCTGGGAAAACCCCAAATCCCCAAATATCCTCTCTCCATTCCCTGGGAAAACCCAAAATCCCTTTTCCCTCTCCCCTGATTCCCCATCCCCAGGACATTTCCCCTGGAAAACCCCAAATCCCTTCTCCCACCCCAATCCCAGTGGAGACCCTGCGGCTCCTGATTGTCCGGAGGCTCCGGCCGGGACGGGACCCCGACGTGTCCAGCTGGGAATTCCCCACGGCCAGCCAGGATTTGGCCACGTCTGGCCGGGATTCCAGGATGTCCAGCCGGGAATTCCCAATGTCCGGCCGGGAATTCCCCACGGCCAGCCAGGATTTGGCCACGTCCGGCCAGGAATTCCCGGCGTCCGGCCGGGATTCCAGGATGTCCAGCTGGGAATTCCCCGTGTCCGGCCAGGAATTCCCAATGTCCAGTCGGGAATTCCCAAAGTCCAGTCAGGAATTCCTGATATCCAGCCAGGAAGGGCCGGAGGGGCCGGAGTCCAACGGGATCCGAATCAACCGGAAAGGTAAAAGGGGATTTGGGGTAGGAATTTGGGGGAATTTGGGATGGAGTTGGGGCAGGAATTGGGGATGGATTTGGGGTAGGAATTTGGAGGGATTTGGGATGGATTTGGGGCAGGAATTTGGGGTGGATTTGGGGTAGGAATTTGGAGGGATTTGGGGCAGGAATTTGGGTGAATTTGGGATGGATTTGGGGTGGATTTGGGGCAGGAATTTGGGATGGATTTGGGGGAGGAATTTGGGGCAGGATTGGGAGAATTTTGGGGGATTTGTGGGGGAACCCACAGGAATTCCCTGCGTTCCTGATGGGATTCCTGCTGGGATTTGGGGTCTCTCTCATTCCCAGGATTTGGGGTCTCGTTCCCCGCCCCTCTCTGGGGTTTGGGATTTTGTTCCCTGCTCCTTCCCGGATTTGGGGTCTCATTCCCTGCTCCTTTTTGGGATTTGGGGTCTCATTCCCTGGGTGCTGATTTCGGTTTCCTGATTTCGGGTTCTGGGCCTTGGTGCTGATTTCGGGATTCTGATTTCGGGATTCTGATTTCGGGATTCTGATTTTTGGGTGTTGATTTCGGGATTCTGATTTCGGGATTTTGATCTTGGGACTTTTGATTTTGGGATTCTGGTTTTGGGATTTTTATTTCGGAATTCTGATTTTGGGTCTTGCTGCTGGGTGCCAATTTTGGGGCGCTGCTTTTGGGTGCTAATTTTGGCTCCCAGTTTTGGGTGCTGGATGCTAATTACTTTTGGGTGCTAATTTGGGGTTCTGGATGCTGATTAATTTGGGGTGCTGATTTTGGGGTGCTAATTTCAGGTTCTAATTAAGTTTGGGTTCTGATTTGGGGTTCTGAATGCTAATTTTGGTATTTTGGGGTGCTTCTTTCCGGTGCTGGCTGCTAATTAATTTCAGTAGCTAATTTTGGGTGCTAATTAATTTTGGGGGCAGATTTTGGGGTGCTGGTTGCTAATTAGGGGCGCTAATTAACTTCGGAGTTCCGAATTGGGGTGCGAATTAATTTTGCGTGCTAACTGGGGGTGCTAATGAACTAACCGGGGTGCTAATTAACTAATTAATCACCGCATTCCGGTGGCGGGGCGCTCCCCCCCTTCCCCCCCCCCCTTTTTGGGGGCCCAGCCCAGGAGGAGGGGCCGGAGGAGGCCACGCCCCCGCGCGGCTGCAGCCAATCAGAGCCCGAGCTGCGGGAAGGAGGCGGAGCCAGCGCCGAGGGTAACCGGCCCCTCCCCCACCCCAAAAAACCCCAAAAGGGCCCCAAAAACCCAAAAAAGGGCCGCCCAAAAAGGACCATTAAAATCACAAAGGGGCCACCAAAAACCCCAAAAAAAAGCCACCAAAAATCCTTTGGGGCCACCAAAAACCCAAAAAGGACCCCAAAAACCCAAAAAAGGGCCACAAAAATCACCACTGGGAGACACCAGATCCCCCCCTGGGGCCACCAAAAATCCTCTGGGGCCACCGAAACCTCCCCTGGGGCCACCAAATCCCCCTTTGGGGACACCAAATCCCCCTCTGGGGACACCAAATCCCCCTTTGGGGACACCAGAACCTCCAGCGGGGCCACCAAGGGCCTGGCAGGGGCCGCTGAGGTCCCCCCGTCCCTTCGCAGGGAATTTCTTCTACCTGAGCCTCCCCAGGGGCTGCCCCGGGCCGGGAGGGGACATCGGGGACATCCCTGGGGACACCCCTGGGGACACGGAGCTGATCCTGGGCACCCTGGAGGAGCTGCGGGGGAAACTGCTGAGCCTCAGGGTGAGACTGGGGACACTGGGGACATCACTGGGGACACTGGGGACATCACTGGGGACATCACTGGGGACACTGGGGACATCACTAGGGCATCACTGGGGACACTGGGGACATCACTGGGGACACTGGGGACATTGGGGACATCACTGGGAAACTGCTGTGGCTCAGGGTGAGGGGACGTTAATGGGGACACGGAGGGGACACCAAGGATGGGATGGGGACACTGGGGTGTCCCAGGGGCTGGCCCAGCTGTCCCCAGCTGTCCCCAGCTGTCCCCTGTCCCCCCAGGCCCTGGAAGCCGCTCACCGGCACCTGCTGCGCTCTCTGCGGGGGGACAAGGCCAGTGTCCCCGCTGTCCCCGCTGTCCCCGGGGTCCCCAGCCCCGTCCCCAGGTGGGCCCCGCCGCCCCCCGGCACGGCCCAGGCCCCGCGGGGACACGGTGCCACCCGCGCTGGCGCTGCCACCAAGGGCACAGGTGAGAGCCCCCCACAGCCCGGTGTCACTGGGGTGGCACCCGCCAGTGTCCCCTGCGTGTCCCCTTCCCCATCGCTGCCATTATTGCCTCATCCCCGCATTATTTCCCGTTAATTTCCCATTTCCCCCGTTATTCCCCCATTAATTTCCCATTTCCCCTGTTATTCCCCCGTTAATTTTCCATTTCCCCCATTATTGCCATTATCCCCCCATTATTTTCACCATTATTCCCCCATTAATGTCACATTTCCCCCATTATTTTTCCCATTATTTTCCCTATTATTTTCTCAATTAATTTTCCCATTATTTCCCCCATTAATTTTCCCATTTCCCCCATTAATTTTCCCATTTTTCCCATTATTTCCCCCATTTTCCCCCTTTTCTTCCAGGCTCCGACGCCCCTGCCCACCTTTAACCCGGGAGGGGGGGGATGGGCTGGAATTTCCCTCCCCTCCCCCAAATTTCCCCCGGAAGATTTTCCAGGGAATTCCGGCCGGGAATTCCCCCGGACAGCCGGACAGATGCACTTTGTTGGGAATTCCCCCTTTTCCCCCCAAAAAAATCCTATAAATATGTACGTACGCCCCTCCCCCACGCTGTAAATACCCCGGGTCCCTCCCTCCCACAATCGGGGGTGACACGGTGACAATCGGGGGGTGGCACCCCCAAAACCCCGGGATTTCCCCCCAAAACCCCGGGATTTTCCCCCCAAAACCCCGGGATTTTCCCCCAAAACCCCGGGATTTCCCCCCAAATCCCCGAATTTCCCCCCAAATCCCGGGGTTCCACATATAAATATTATAAATAACAGAGCCCAGGCGGGCGCTGGAAGCTGGGAAGAATTCCTGAATTTTTGAGTAGTTTTTTGTGCGATTTGGGGTTTTTAATGGGATTTGGGGGTTTTTTTCCATGGGGGAGGGGGATTTGGGATTTGGGAATGGGATTTGGGAATTTGGGATCCACATCCTCTGTGGCACAGGGCGGTTCCCGAATTCCTGCCCCTGCTGGGATTTGGGGTTTGAGGTTTGGGATTGGGAATTTGGGGTCCTGGGAGGGATTTGGGATTGGGGTGGGGAATTTTGGGATCCGGATGCTCCCCAGGGATTTGGGAATTCCAGGATCCAGCCCCGCGCTGGTGCGGTGTCCCCAGGGCCTGTGCTGTCCCCACATGCCCCTGGGGGGTGTCACGATGTCCCCAAGGGGTGTCACAGTGTCCCCAAGGGGTGTCACGGTGTCCCCAGGGGTGTCACGGTGTCCCCAGGGTGTGACCTGTCCCCAGGGGTGTCACAGTGTCCCCAGGGTGTCCCAGTGTCCCCAGGGGTGTCACGGTGTCCCCAGGGTGTGACCTGTCCCCAGGGGTGTCACAGCCCAGCCGGGTGACAATGCTCTGGTTTATTTACAAGCTGGCGGGGGGAGGTGGCACCGTCCCTGTCCCTGTCCCTGTCCCCAGTAGCTCCCAGTTGCCCTGGGAGTGGCTCTGCGGCCCCAAAGGGGCACAGGAAGGGGACACCAGGACACCTCCCCGAAGTCCCTGTGTCCCCTCGGGGTCCACGGCCGCGAGGAGCGGCGGCACCTCTGGTGGTACCTCCTGGGTCACCTCTGGTGGCACCTCTGGTGGCAGCTCCTGGGGCACCTCTGGTGGCACCTCTGGTGTCTTCAGTGTCACATCCTGGGTGTCCCCAGGGTCAGGTTCTCTCTGTCCCCGCTGTCACAAGGCCAAGATCTCATCCTGGATGTCCCCAGTGTCCCGCTCCAGTGTCCCAAATGTCCCCACTCTGTGTCCCCTCGCTGTCCCCGCTGTCCCCTCGCTGTCACAGGGTGAAGATCTCGTCCCGGTGTCCCCTCGCTGTCCCCTCGCTGTCCCCTCACTGTCACAGGGTGAAGATCTCGTCCTCGGTGTCGCGCAGCGCGGCCGCCCGCGGGGTGCGGGTCAGGGGTCGGGGTCCCAGCCGGGCCCCCCGGGGGGACGCGGGGCCGGGGCCACCCCCGGCGGGCGCGGGGCTGCGGGGACAGCGGGTGACACCGGGGTGGCACTGCCACCGCCGGCGCTGTGAACCCCGCCCGGGTCCTGCCTGTGACCCCCGCTCCACCCCCGCCTTCCCCCCAGGCTCTCCCCAGTTTTCTCCCAGTTTCACCCCAAATTTTCCCAATTTTTCCCCCAGTTTTCCCCAAACTTTCCCCAATTTTCTCCCAGTTTCTCCCAAATTTTCCCCCAATTTTTCCCCCAAATTTCTCCTAGTTTCATCCCCATTTCTCCCCAGTTTTTCCCAAATTTTTCCCCAAATTTTTCCCAATTTTTTTCCCCCAATTCCCTCCCAGTTTCAGCCCAATCTCCCCCCTAGTTTTATCCGATTTTCCCCCAATTCCCTCCCAGTTTCAGCCCAATCTCCCGCCCGGTTTGATCCCGATTTTCCCCGTTTTACCCCGGTTTTGCCCCCGGTTTTCCCGGTGCGCACCCGGAGCTGCGGCCCCGCAGCCGCCGCGCCGCCGCCTCCTTGGAGCGGTCGATCTCGGCGTCCAAGCGCCGCAGGAAATCCGAGCACGACAGGTCGCGGCGGGGGGGGCCGGGGGTGTCACCGGGGGTGTCCTCGGGAGTGTCACCGGGGGTGTCACCGGGGGCGTCCCCGGGAGTGTCACCGGGGGTGTCCCCGGCCGTGTCCCGGTGTCCCGGGATGAGCAGCGTGGCTCGCAGGAAGATCGTGTCCGAGGAGTAGAGGCGGTTGGCGCGCTGGATCTGCTCCATCTGCGGGGCGGGACCGGGACCGGGACCGGGACGGGGATGGAACGGGACCAGTATAGGGACAGGGATGGGCACAGGGATAAGGACACGAACCGGGCAGCCGAAGCGAACCGGGCCAGCACAGGCCCGAGATGAACCCTGGGGACCTCCCCTGCCCCCGGTGTCCCCCCGGTGTCCCCCCGCTGTCCCCCCGGTGTCCCCGGGGCCGCTCACCGTCACCCCGTAGCGCAGCGCCAGCCCCGCAAGGGTGTCCCCGGGCTGCAGGCGGTGCTCCCGCGGGGCCGCCCCGGCTCCGCCGCTCCCCGCCATGGCCCGCCCGGGGGTCCCGGCCCGGGGGTCCCCCCGGGGGTCCCGGCCCGGCCCCACCGCTCACGGGGAGCGCTCGGCCCGGGCCCCGCCGAACCGGCGCGGCCTCGCGGCCCCTTCTGGGAGTTGTAGTTCGGCTCGGGCCATCTCCGCTGCCATTTCCACGAGAGCTTCCCGCGCTTGAACTACAACTCCCATGGCGCCGCGGGGTCCGCGCCGAGCTCTCGCTGATTGGTGGTTCCCCCCGCGGGCTGCCGGCCGGGAAGCGGAACCCGGAAGCGGCGGCGGCGTTGCCATGGCGACCGCGGCCTAGCGGGGCCCGCCATGTCCTTCAAGCGCGACGAGAGCGACCCGGGGCCGCTGCGGGCGCTGCAGGTGGGGCCGGCACCCCCGGGACCCTTCCCCGGGAGCCTTCCGGGACCCCCGGGATCCCTCCCCGGGCACCCCACAGAACCTCCGGCACGGCCAAGCCCAGCCCCTCCACCGCCGGGCCTCGGCCGGAACCCCGCGGGTCGCCTGAGGCCTTCCCGGGCCCCTTTCTCCCCTCAGTGTCCCCAGCCCCTCCCTCGGTCCCTTTGTGTCCCCTCAGTGTCCCCAACCCCTCCCTCGGTCCCTTTGTGTCCCCTCAGTGCCCCCAGCCCCTCCCTCGGTCCCTTTGTGTCCCCTCTGTCCCTTCCAGGTCCCCCAGGTCCTTCCCGACCCCACTTTGTCCCCTCAGCCCTTCCCCAGACGGGCAGACGGTCTGGGCACAGCTGGGGACAGTTTGGGACAGTTTGGGGACGATCTGGGGACAGTTTGGGGACAGGGGTGACCTGGGTGGCCCTGCTGTCCCCAGAGGCGCCGCGTGGCCGAGCTGCTGGCCAGTGCCATCCCCGAGGACGAGGCGCTGCTGCTGCGCGACGGCCGGTGAGTGTGCCCCGTGTCCCCTGATGTCCCCAGGGTCCCTCAGTGTCCCCGCTGTCCCTGATGTCCCCTGCTGTCCCCGCTGTCCCCAGGGTCCCTCAGTGTCCCCCGCTATCCCTGCTGTCCCTGATGTCCCCTGGTGTCCCCACTGTCCCCAGGGCACCTCAGTGTCCCTGCTGTCCCCAGGGTACCTCAGTGTCCCCTGCTGTCCCTGCTTTCCCTGATGTCCCCTGGTGTCCCCACTGTCCCCAGGCTGGCGTGCTCGCTGTGTCCCCAGCGCCCCGTGTGTGACACTCTGCAGACACTGCTGCTGCACCGGGCGGGCCGCAAGCACCTGGACAGTGAGTGTGGTGTCACCTGTGCTGTCACCTCTGTGACCCCTGTCACCTCTGTGTCCCCTGTCACTTGTGTCCCCTGTCCCCTGTGTCCCCTGTCCCCTGTGTCCCATGTCACCTCTGTGTCCCTGTGTCACCTGTGCTGTCCCCTGTGTCCCGTGTCCCCCCGTGTCCCTGTCCCGTCCCTGTCCCCTCACGCCGTCCCTGTCCCGTTCCAGACCTGCGGCGTTCCTTCGGGCGGCCACGCTGTCCCCAGGTGACCCCGCAGGAGGCGCCGGGCGTGGCCCCCGCCGAGCAGGTGGGCGTGGCCTGTGTGGGCGTGGCATCTATGGGTGTGGTTCCATGTGGGCGTGGCCTCTGTGGGTGTGGTTCAATGTGGGCGTGGTCTCTTTGGGTCTGGTTCCTTGTGGGTGTGGTATCTGTGGGTGTGGTTCCCATGGGGGTGTGGTCTGTGTGGGTGTGGCATCTACAGGTGTTGCCCCAAGTGGGTGTGGTCTGTGTGGGTGTGGCCGCGGTGGGCGGGGCCTGAGGCGGGCGTGGCTGTCCCCAGGCGCCGCTGCTGGCCCGGACGCGCCGCCTGGCCCGGAGCGCGCTGCTGCCATCGGCACCGTACAGCGGCTGCTGCCGGAGAGCGTGAGGGACCGGCACGGGGAAATGGGGGGGGAAAATGGGGGAAAAATGAGGGGAAAAGGGGAAAAAATGAGGGGAAAAATGGGGGGGAAATGGGGAAAAATGGGGGGAATGGGGAAAAATGGGGGGAAATGGTAGGAAAATGGGGGAAACTGGGGGGAAACGGGGAGAAAATGGGGGAAAAATGTGAGGAAATGGAGGAAAATGGGAGAAATGGGAAAAAATGAGGGAAACAGGGGGAATGCGGAAAATGGGGGAAAAAAAGAGGACAGATGGGGAAAATCTGGAAAGATGGGAGAGGAACTCAGGGATACCAGGAAAAACCCAGAAAAGGGACTCAGGGACAGCAGGGAAAATTTCTGGGGTTCCCAGGAAAGGGCTTGGGAAGGATGGGAAAAGCTCCGGAATTCCTGGGATAGGGATGGGTGGGATGAGGAGAACTGGGGAAAAACCCCAAAATTCCAGGAAAGGGAAAGTTTTGGGATTCACCCCTTCTCCCTTCCCCCTCCCAGGACGAAGGGCAGCAGTTCCCGGGCCGGGATGCCAGGGGTGATCCCGAAAAATTCCCAGACGCCGCCGGAGCCCTCCTGGAACCCCGGGAATTCCAGAAATTCCGAAACCCCCAGCCCCGCACACACAGACGGTGAGACCCCGCCCATGCCAGGGGGTTTTCCCGGGAATTCCCCATTCCTGGAATTCCTAGCAACCCCTTCCTCGCTCCCGCAGGCATTCCCAAGGACAGGAAACGGGGAAGGAAAGGAAATTCCCGGATTTCCGAAGGGCCAGAAGGAAATTCCCGATGTTCCGAAGGGCCGAGCCCGGAGCAGCTGCGGATCCTGCGGCACCACCTGCACCTGCGCAGGTGGGTTGGGATCTGGGAATTCCGGGAAAAATCCCAAAAATGTCCCCCACAAGTATCCCCACAAAGATCCCCACAAAAATATCCCCCAAAAAATCCCCACAAAAATCCCCCAAAATATCCCAAAATAATTCCCCAAAAAAAAAGCCTGAAAAAAACCCCAAAGAAATCCCCCAAACCTACCAAAAACACACCAAAAAATTCCCTAAATCCCCGAAAACCCCCCCAACCCCCTTTCCCTGCGTCCCAGCCGGGGCTGGCTCCAGGATGCTGCTGGGAATTGGGTGAAGGACGGGAACGCCGAGTTCGACTCCGACGAGGAGGAGCCGCCCCCGCTGCCGCCGGCCTGACGTCCCCACGTGTCCCCAGGTGTCCCCACATGTCCCCACGTGTCCCCAGGTGTCCCCACATGTCCCCAGGTGTCCCCAGAGCGCCGGGAATAAAGGGGGAATTTTTTTGGACCATTTTTCCGCTTTATTCCCGGCGGTCCCTGAGATCGGGGCGGGCACAGGGGAGTTTTTAGGATTTCTTCTGTTGGCGACCTGAGGGGAGAGAAAAGGGGGGGTCAGGGGTGGGACCCCAAAGTCCTGCCCCGAGGGGACACTTGGGGACACTTGGGGACACCTTGGGGACACCTGGGGACCCCTGGGGACACTTGGGGACCCCTGGGTGCCCCGGGCACTCACGCAGCTCGCTGTTGCGGGTGAGGGCGGCGGCGGCGCGCGCCCGCGGGCCCTGCTGGCTGAAGGTGTAGCCGAAGCGCAGCAGGGACGGGCACTGCTCCAGGGTGGCCGCCATGGCCATCTCCACCGTGTCCCCCATGCGCTGGCACTGCGGGGACATGGGGGACAGGCTGTGTCAGTGTCACCGCCCAGCACTGCGGGGACATGGGGGACAGGCTGTGTCAGTGTCACTGCCCCATCTCCACCGTGTCCCCCAGGTCTGGCACTGCGGGGACATGGGGGACAGGCTGTGTCAGTGTCACAGCCCCATCTCCACCGTGTCCCCCAGGCGCTGGCACTGCGGGGACATTGGGGACAGGCTGTGTCAGTGTCACCGCCCCATCTCCACCGTGTCCCCCAGGCGCTAGGCACTGCGGGGACATTGGGGACAGTCAGGTCACTGTCACCTCCCCTGCTGTCCCCGCTGTCACCTGGTTGTCCACGCGCAGCTCGCTGAGGGTCGGGCAGTGCCCGATGGCGGCCAGCAGCCGCAGCATGCCCGCGCTGGTGATGAAGTTGGACTCGAGGTTGAGGCTCTGCAGGCTCCGGTTCTGCTCCAGCATCTCAGCCACCGCCTGGGGACAGCGCGGTGGCACCATGGGGACAGCCCCCCTGGTGTCCCAGCCGCGGGGACGTTTGGGGACGGGGGACTCACGTTGGCCACCAGGTCGTTGGTGCGCGTGGCCACCAGGCTGAGGCTGCGCACGTGCGTGTTGGTCTTGATGGCCTCGCAGATGGCCTCGAGCGTGGCCACGGGGATGTCCTGGGGACGGTCGGGGACACGGCGTCACCCGGCTGGGGCTGGCACCTCGGGGACGCGCTGGGGGCAGGGACCAGCCCCGGGTGCCGGCTTCAGCCAGCGTCAGGGCGGCACGGGGCACCCTGGGGACACGGGGACGCGGGACGGTGGCAGCGCGGTGTCACCTTGATGTTGTTGAGGTTGACGTCCTGCAGCTCGGGGTCGTTGTCCTGCAGCCGCCGCAGCGTCTCGGCCACGTCCGTGGGGTTCGGGGGCTCGTCCGGCACCGGCCGGTACCGGTCCGGCTGCACCACGCCTGGGCAGCGCGGGGACGGCGTGGGGACAGCGTGGGGACAGTGTGGGGACACGGGGACAGCGCTCAGGGACACAGGGACAGTGTGGGGACGGCGTGGGGATAGCGTGGGGACAACGCGGGGACGGCGTGGGGACATGGGGACAGCGTGGGGACACGGGGACAGCGTGGGGACATGGGGACAGCGTGGGGACAGCGCAGGGACACGGGGACAGCACGGGGACATGGGGACAGCGTGGGGACATGGGGACAACGCTCAGGGACACAGGGACAGTGTGGGGACACGGGGACACACGAGTTTGGTCCCCAAATGCTACCCCAGTCACCCCATGGAGGCGCTTGTCCCCCTGTCCCTGTCCCCGTGTCACCCACTGTGGGTTCCCTGTCCCCATGTCCCCTGTCACTCCCAGTGTCCTGTCCCTGTGCCACTCACTGTTGATGCCCTCGGTGTTGCAGATGTTCCCGCTGCAGATGGCATCGTAGTACTGCTTGTTACTCATCAGCGTGTACATGCCCAGGATGGCTGCGGGGACACGGGGACATCAGGGGACACCGGGGGGACACGGGGGACACGGGGGACACGGGACCCCACTGTCCCCCCAGGGAGGTGGCACTGGGAGCCAAAAGTGGGGTCGGAGCTGCTTTAACTGAGGGGACACAGAGGGTGAGGGGGGACACGAGTGTGACACTGTGGGACAATGTGTGTGACGCTCGGGTGTGTGACACTGTGGGACAACGTGTGTGACACTCAGGTGTGTGACAGTGACACGAGGACGGGTGTGCTGTGCTGGGCTGTGTTGGTGTCCCTCCCAGGTGACACTGTGTGACACTCAGGTGTGTGACACTCGGTGTGTGACAGTGACACGAGGACAGGTGTGCCATGCTGGGCTGTGTTGGTGTCCCTCCCGGGTGACGTGTGACACCGTGTGACACCGTGTGACACCGTGTGACACGCGCAGCCCCTCGGGGACAGCGTTACCCTCGGCCAAGGCCCTTCCTGGTGCCGCTCCCGGCCCCGCGGGGATCCCGGCCTGCGCAGAGTCCGGCCTCGTTCCCATCCCGTGGGAATCCCATGGAGATCCCATGGAGATCCCATCCCAACCCCATCCCATGGAGATCCCATGGAAATCCCATCCCAACCCCATCCAATGGAGATCCCATGGAGATCCCATCCCATGGAGATCCCATGGAGATCCCTTGGAAATCCCATCCCTTGGAAATCCCATCCCAACCCCATCCCATGGGAATCTCATCCCAACCCCATCTCATGGGAATCCCATGGAAATCCCATCCCAACCACATCTCATCCCATCCTTTACAAATCCCACCCCCATTCTAACCCCATCCATGTCCCCATTCCCACCCCAATCCCATTCCCGTTCCCATTCCCGCTCCCGTCCCCGCTGTCCCCGCGCACCGGCGATGTCGCACATCTCGGCCTCAGTGGCATTGGCCAGCGCCTCCTCCAGCTCCGGCTCCAGCGTCACCTCCTCCTCCCGCGGCAGCGCCGGCCCCGCCGCCTTGGGGACAAACGGCTTCCCTGGGGACAGGGACGGGGAGCTTGGGGACATGGGGACAAACGGCTTCCCTGGGGACAGGGACGGGGAGCTTGGGAACATGGGGACACCAACGGCTTCTCTGGGGACAGGGACGGGGAGCTTGGGGACATGGGGACACCAACGGCTTCCCTGGGGACAGGGACAGGGAGCCTGGGGACATGGGGACACCAACGGCTTCCCTGGGGACAGGGACGGGGAGCTTGGGGACATGGGGACAAACGGCTTCCCTGGGGACAGGGACGGGGAGCTTGGGGACATGGGGACAAACGGCTTCCCTGGGGACAGGGACGGGGAGCTTGGGGACATGGGGACACCAGCGGCTTCTCTGGGGACAGGGACAGGGAGCTTGGGGACATGGGGACACCAGCGGCTTCTCTGGGGACAGGGACACGGGGACAAACAGCTTCAGGTGGCATCCTCAGTGAGGCTGGCACTGCTGTCCCTGGGTTGTGACCATCCGGGGCTGGCACTGCTGTCCCTGGGGGTGACACTGCCAGGGCTGGTGGCCGTGCCCGGGGCTGGCGGGGGCCCAGCTCGCCCAGGACACCCGAGCCGCTGGCGAGGCCGAGCTAAATATACCCGAGCCCGGGGGCCCGGTCCCCTGGGTGTCCCCTGGGTGTCCCCAGGCCATCCCCGCGCTGTCCCCGCGCTGTCCCCGCTGTCCCAGACCTTTTTTCTCGCCGGTGAAGGGCACGAGGTCCTGGCGCTCCTCGGCCTCCAGCGCCTGCCGCTCCAGGTGCTGCAGCAGCGCCTCTCGGTCCAGGGGCCCCGTGGGGCTCTTGTGGGTCTGGTCGCGCTGGCGCAGCCCCGCGGGCAGCAGCACGTTCTGGGGACAGCGGGGACACCGCGCTGTCACCTCCGGCCGCCCGCGGGGACCCGCGGCCCCGGCCCGCGCCCACCTCGGGGTCCATCTCGGCCAGCTCGGCGTCCAGCTGCGCCAGCTCCTCCGGGGACAGCTCCTGCAGGATCTTGTCCTCGTCGATGTCGCGGTACTTCTCCAGCTCCTGCCGGTACGGCGTCATGGCCGCGGGCACCTGGGACAGCGGGGGGACACCGTGGGGACACCGGGGTGGCACCGTGGGGACAGCAGGGTGGCACCGTGGGGACAGCGCGGTGGCACCGTGGGGACAGCGGGGGGACAGCGGGGGGACACCGTGGGGGACACCGTGGGGACACCGGGGCGGCACTGTGGGGACAGCAGGGTGGCACCGTGGGGACAGCGGGGTGGCACCGTGGGGACAGCGGGGGAACAGCAGGGAATTCCTTTGGGAAGCGGCTCCGGGACCCCCAAACCCCAAAATTCCTGTGGGGGAGGGGAGGGGGAGGTGACAGCGGGGACAACGCGGGGACAGCGCGGGGACAGCGGGGCCGTACCTGGGGCCGATCCCGCGGCCGATCCTAAAGCGGGGGGGGATCCTAAAGGCGATCCCGAAGCCGATCCCAAAGGCCGGGGCCGATCCCGGAGCCCCAGGGCCGATCCCAAAGGCGATCCCAAAGCTGCGGGGCCGCGCGGGGCATGAGATCAGCGCTTTATCGGGGCCGGCAGGGGCGGGTCCGCGTCCCGGCCCTTATCGGGAACGGGGGGCCCCGCCCCGGCCCCAAAACCGCCGGGGCACACGGCAGAGCGGATCCTTCCCAATCCCGTAAATCCCACAGAGCTCCCACCCCAAAAACCACCGGCACAAAAGGGGGACACAGATCCTTCCCAAATCCCATAAACCCTACAAAGCTCGAGGAGGGTTTGGCCCCACAAGCCCAGAATTCGGGGTGTGGAGGGGGTTTGGGGGAGCTAGGAATTAATTTTGTACGGTTTTCTGGAAAAGAAAATCCCATAAAGTTTATTTTAGGCTTCTCTGGAGAAAGGAATCCCACATTATGGTAGGATCTTCTGGAAAATAATGGCTTCGTGAACCTTGTTTATTGTAGGATTTCTTGGAAAAAGGGTTCCCATCCTGTATTTTCTGTAGCATTTCCTACAAAAAGGTGCTCTCACTCCCTATTTATTATAGGATTTCTGGGAAATGGTTCTGCAAATGACTTTATTTATTGTATCCTGAAGAAAGGGGCTCCCACCCCCTATTTTTGTAAGACCACCCACCACCCCACACAAACCAACCCCCAAGTCAACTTTATTCCCTCCTCCAGCACCTTTTGAGCAGTGACCCCAAAAAAACATCACTCCGGGTGATCCCATATCCCTAAATCCCAAATCCCAACACCCCAGTATCCCAAAATCCCAGGATTCTGGGCACTGCCGACACTTTGCTGACGAAGATTTTCTGCTGCTCTGGAAGGGAGCCCCTCAACTAAACCCTCACCACTGTCAGTCCCAATATCCCAACATCCAAACCCCAAATCCGGGATCTCAGGCACTGGGAACGCTCTGCTTGATGACGATTTTGGGAGGAACACTCCCACACCTCAAATCCCAAACCCCAAATCCCAAATCTCAGCTGGGAAGGCTCTGTTTGATGACGATTCTCTGCCATTTTGGGAAGGACTCTCTGGTACCCCACACCCCAAATGCCAAATCCCAGATCCCAAATCTCAGGTGCTGGGGATACTCTACTTGACGACGATTTTGGGAGGAACACTTCCATACCCCAAATCCCGAATCTCAGGTGCTGGGAACGCTCTGTTTGATGACGATTTTGGGAGGAACACTCCCACACCCCAAATCCCAAACCCCAAATCCCGAATCTCAGGCGCTGGGAACGCTCTGTTTGATGATGATTTTGGGAGGAACACTCCCACACCCCAAATCCCAAACCCCAAATCCCGAATCTCAGGCACCGCGAATGCTGTTTGATGACGATTTTGGGAGGAACACTCCCACACCCCAAACCCCACACCCCAAATCCCACACCCCACAGCCCAACTCTCAGGCGCTGGGAACGCTCTGTTTGATGACGATTTTGGGAAGGACACTCCCACACCCCACACCCCAAATCCCACACCCCACACCCCCAATCTCAGGCGCTGGGCACGCTCTGTTTGATGACGATCTTCTGCCTGCCGGGCCGTGCCGCGGGGCCGTCGGCGGGCGCGGCGGCGGCGGCGGCGGCGGCGCTGGGCAGCCCGTGCGCGGTGACGTACTTGCGGTAGGCCTCGCGGATGATGCGGAAGGCGCGGGCGTTGGAGTAGGGGATGTCGGTGATGGGGTCGCGGTACAGGGCCGGCTTGTGGGTGACGGGGCACAGCTCCCGCACCGGCAGCCGCGGCGCCTTGGCCCGCGGGAAGCAGCGCTCGAAGGTGGCGTCGTCGCTGAAGGAGATGAAGGTGCGCGAGCACTTCCCCGGCGACGGCGACGGCGGCGGTGCCGCGGCTCCGGGCTGCGCCTCGGGGTCCAGCCTGCAACGGCACCGCCGGGCCGGCATGGGGGGAGCCGTGGGGCTGGGGCGGCCCGAAGCTCTGCTCCCAAAGGGATTCGGGGGCTCGGAAGCTGCGGCTCCAGTGGGGGATTTGGGGGTTGTGGTGGTGCCCAAAAACTGTGATTCCCATGGGATTTGGGGCCTCAAACCTGCCACCTGAACCTGTTTCTCCTGTGGGGTTTGGGGGTTCCAAGGTGGCGCTCAGGAAATGTTTTTCCAGAGGGATTTGGGGCTCCAAAGTGCTTTCCCCCTCCCCAAGTGGGACAAAGCAAAGGGAAGTCTCCAGGTTGGGGTTCAGGGCCCAAATCCACCCACCCAAAGTGGAATTTGGGGATTTGGGAGCTCTGCCCAGCTCCTCCGGGGCAGCTCCAGGGCAGCTCCAGGCTGGGATTTGGGGTTCTGGTGCCACTCACCCCTCGACATCCACGGGGTCGTCGCGGCCGGGCTCGGGCAGGAGGGGCATGGTCAGGGACCAGTAGCGGATCACGGGGCCCACGATCTTCCTCTTCTTCTGCACCTGCTTCTTCTTGTCCGCCTCCAGCCGCTCGTAGTTCTCTGGGGCGGGGAACAGGTCGGGAACGGGGTCAGGAACGAGGTCAGGAACGGGGTCAGGAACGGCCCAGCCCAGCACGGCAGCATTGCAGGGCTGCCAGCTCGGATCCTGGGATCCCTGATCACTTCTGTGCCATTCCCAGTGTCCATGTCCCTTCCTGCTGTCCCCATCCCAGCATCCCACTCCCATTCCCAGTATCCCATTCCCAGTATCCCGTTCCCATTCCCAGTATCCCATTCCCAGTCCCCCTCACCCAGGGAGCGCAGGTTGATCTCCTCAGTGATCCTGGCCCTGTCCCAGCCCCATTCCCATTCCCAGTATCCCATTCCCAGTATCCCGTTCCCATTCCCAGTATCCATTCCCAGTCCCCCTCACCCAGGGAGCGCAGGTTGATCTCCTCGGTGATCTTGGCCTCCTCCAGCAGCTCCTCCTGGGTCAGGGGCCGCTCGTGGCTGGTGCCTCCCTTTTTCCTCTTGGACTGCACCTGGCGCTCCTGCAGCCGCAGGAACGTCTGCCGGGTGTGCTCCGTGGTGGACTGCCGCATGTGCTTCCGGCCTGCGGGCACGGGCGCGGGAGCTGCGGGATCCATCCCGGCTCCGGGATCCCATTCCCGGTACCGTGATCCATTCCGACACCGGGATCCATCCCGGCACAGGGACCCATCCCAGCACCAGGATCCATCCCAGCACGGGGATCCATCCTAGCTCCGGGATCCCATTCCCGGCACCGGGACCCATCCCTGCTCCGGGATCCATCCCTGCTCTGGGATCCATCCCGGCTCCGGGATCCCATTCCCGGCACCGTGATCCATTCCGACACCGGGATCCATCCCAGCACCGGGATCCATCCCACCACCGGGATCCATCCCAGCCCCTGGGATCCCATTCCCAGCCCCTGGGATCCCATTCCCAGCACTGGGATCCCATTCCCAGCCCCTGGGATCTCATTCCCACCCCATTTCCAGCCCCTGGGATCTCATTCCCAGCCCCTGGGATCCCATTCCCAGCTCCGGGATCCATCCCAGCTCTGGGATCCCATTCCCAGCCCCTGGGATCCCATTCCCAGCCCATCCCCAGCCCCACTCACTGTCTCCCCCATCCTCCTGCAGCTCCAGGGGCAGGGCTTTCACCTCCCGGCCCCTCTGGCTCGCTCCCCGCGGCCCCTCCGCCTTCCTGGCCCGGAGGCTCTTGAGCGGCTCCTGCGGGCACAGCACGGGGATGAGGGCCCCAGACTTTGGGGATTTGGGGTTTTTGCCCCAAAGGGGCCGGGCGGGGCTCGGTACCCGGTAGGCCTTGGTGAGCACGCGGCGGCGGCGCCGGGGCTCGGCCTCGTCCTGCTCCGAGCCCGGCTCGTCGCCCTCGTCGATGTCGAAGTCCGAGTCCACCTCGTCATCGCTGTCCGAGTGCTCCCCGCGGTACTCGTCATCCCCCGACTCCTGGGAACATGGGAACGTTGGGAATGTGGGACTGGGAACCACGGAGTCCCGCTTAGGGAACCTTGGGAATGTGGGACTGGGAACCACGGAATCCCGCTCAGGGAACCTTGGGAATATTGGGAACGTGGGACTGGGAACTGTGGGATCCCACCAAATGCTTGTCATCTCTGGACTGCTGGCACGGGGAACGTTGGGAATGTTGGGAATATGGGACTGGGAATTCTGGAATCCCACCCAGGGAACACTGGGAGTGTGTCAATGTTGGGAATATGGGGAATGTTGGGAATATGGGACTGGGAACTGTGGGATCCCACCCAGGGAACACTGGGAGTGTGGCAGTGTTGGGAATATGGGGAATGTTGGGAATATGGGACTGGGAACTGTGGGATCCCACCCAGGGAACACTGGGAGTGTGGCAGTGTTGGGAATATGGGGAATGTTGGGAATACGGGACTGGGAACTGTGGGGTCCCACTGAGGGCTCCCCGCGGTGTCCCCGGACTCCTGGGACAGGGAACACCGGGAACGTTGGGAATGCGGGGCACCCCCATTCCCTGAACACCCCCTCGTTCTCAGGACACCCCATTCCCGGTGTCCCCATTCCCGTGTCCCCATTCCCGGCCCCTCCCCTCTCCCGGTGTCCCCGCCCCTCCCCCGCTCCGCTCCGTTTCCCGCGCCCCGCTCCCGCCCGGTGGCGCCCGGTGCCGCTGGCCTCGCCTCGTTGAAGCCGCCGTAGGTGGTCTGGTAGAACTCGTCCTCGTCGTGCGCCTGCAGCAGCCCCGAGAGGCGATTCCCCGCCGTGCGCCGCGGGGCGCGGCCCTCCGCCAGGCTCATCTCGGCGCTCCGCACGCCGCCTGCCGCGCCGCCCGGCCGAGCGCCGAAACATCGATCGGCGGGGACAGCGACCCCGCGCGGGCAGCGCGGGACCCGCCGTGACGTCATCGACAGCGTGACGTCATCGGCCGGCTATGACATAACGGGCGGAGTGACGTCACGCGTGCGGCTGCTTTTATAAACATTTAATTTGTATTAAACTGTAAAATTCTAAAGCCCGAGCGATGGGCGTTTGTCACAGGCGCTCTGTGACATCACAGGGTGTCAAGGCAGGGCTGTGGCTCTGTGACGTCATAGGGCGGAGGAAGAGATTACAGGGCCGGCGGTATGACGTCAGAGGATGGGTTTGCTCCAGTGACGTCACTGATTGGTATGTGGTGCAGAACGGTGACGTCATTTAACATATGACGTCACCCGACCCACGCGCCTCTCGCCACGTGACGCACCGGAGCCCCGAGCTGCGCATGCGCCGTGCGGGCCCGCCCGCGTGGCCCCCGCTCCCCGCCGCCCGCGGGAGGGGCGTGATCTATCGCAGAACGGGGCGGGGCCGCGCCTGATTGGCGGCGCTGATCACGGAGGGGGCGTGGTTTAGCCGCGAGGGGGCGGGGCCGCGTGGGAAAGAGGCGGGGCCGCCCCGCGGGTGGGCGTGTCCGCGCGCGCACAAAGCGTTGTCAATGGGCGGAGGGGGCGTGGCTTGTGCAGGAGGGGGCGTGGCCCGCGGGGCGGGGGCGTGGCCGGGCGCGGCGGGCGGGGGCGCAGCGCGCGCTCCAAGATGGCGGCGGCGGGGCCCGAGCCCGGCGGCAGCGGCGGCGGCCCCGGCGGTACCGGCCGGGAACGGGGCCCCGAACGGGGGCTGGGGCCCGGGGAGGGGCCTGGGGGGCTCTGGGGGCCTGGGGGGCTGAGGGGAGAGCGCGAGGGTGAGGGGGCTCTGAGGGCGTGGGGGGCTGAGGGGGGATCTTGGGGGGTTGTGAGGGGGATTCGGGGGGCAGTGAGGGGGATTTGAGGGGTTATGAGGGAGATTTGAGGAGTTACTGGGGGATTTGGGGGTTTTGAGGAGGATTTAGGGGTAATAAGGGAAATTTTGGGGTATATGGGGGGGATTTGGGGGGTTATGTGGAGATTTGGGGGTTATGAGGGGTCTGGGGGGTTATAGGGGGATTTGGAGGGGGTTATAAGGGGGATTTGGGGGGTTATGTGGAGAGTTGGGGGTTATGAGGGATCTGGGGGGTTATAAGGGGGATTTGGGTGTTATGAACAGGATTTGAGGGGTTATGGGGGGATTTGGGGATTATAGGGGGGTTTTGGGGGTAATGAGGGAGATTTGGAGGGTTATGCAGAGATTTGGGGGTCATGAGGGGTCTGGAGGGTTATGAGGGGGATTTGGGGGGGTTATAAGGGGGATTTGGGGGTAATGAGGGGTTTGGGGGTGTGAGGGGTTTTTTGGGGGGTCTTTGGGGGTTGTGGGTGGATTTATGGCTGGGAGACTGAGGAGGGTTTTGGGGGGCATTTGAGGGTTTAGAACTGTGGGGCCGAGGGGGATTTTTGGGGGTCTTTAGGGTTTTTTGGGGGGTGTAGAACTCTGGGGCTGAGGGGGATTTTTGGGGTCTTTATGGGGTTATTTTCTGGGGGACTTGGAGCTTCCTGAGGGAATTTTGGGGGATTTGGGGATGTCTGAGGTGCCGTGGGGGGTGGCTGGACCCAGCTTTTCCTTGGAAAATCCGAATTCCGAGCTTCACTTTCCCTGTGGAACACCCCAGAACGCACGGGGGGCACTCGAGAGGCCCGAAATTCCCAAAAAAAAGGGAAAAGCAGAGTGGGACTGCGGCGGGGAGGGAGAAGTTTGTTGGTGCCAGGGAAATCCGATTCCCGTTCCCGTCCGGTGACTCACGGGGGTGGGCAGGGCTCGCGGGGGTCCCGAATTCCCAGAAAAATCCCGGGAAGAGCCGGGAATGGGCAGCAAACCCGCGGGGTTTGTCTGGCTCAGTGGGGAAGGCAGCCACGGAAAGGGCTGGAAAGAAAAATCAGGAATTTGCCGGCTCAGAGCCTTTTTTCTGGGATAAAAAAAGTGAACTTTTGGGTTTTAGAACTGGTGTTTTTCCTTTTCCTGCCTTTTCCTGAACTTGGCAGAATTCCTGGGGGAATCCAGCCCTTTATCCCATTTTCTCCCGCTCCAAATCACCTTTTCCACCTTAAGTTTTGGGCCCAGGTCCGTGGAGATTCCATCTGGGAAGGAGTTCCTTGCTCCTGGGTTTTCCCTGGTAGGATTTGTGGCCTGATCCCTGATTTTCCGACTCTGCATCCGTGGGGTTTTTTTTTTTTGGGGAATTTGCAGCCAGGAACCCCAGGAGAGCAGCGTATGTGGGTGGGATAACTCAGTATTTTGCATTTTCTAGTTTTTGTGAGATTTTTTCTGTTTTCCTGGGGTTTTGCTGGGATTTCCCCTGCTTTTCTGGTATCGATCCTCTCTGAGCTTGGATTTTCCCTTTCTTTTGGCAGGATCGAACACCTGCAAGAAATCCCTGACTCCTGAGGTGAGTTCCAGGCTGGAAAATTCCCAAATTCCAGCTTTTCCTGCTCCTTTTACAGCTTTTCCTGCTCTTTTATCCAAGCCTGCCTTGACCCTGAGCAGCTCCTCCCATGGGAATTTTGGGGATTTACCCTTCCCCAGGGAATTCCTGCTCCAAAACCCGAATTTATCCTGGAACCACCTCCAAAATCCCTGGAAAAATTCAATTTAACAACTCTTGGATGAATCCTTGGATTCTTCGGCCAGGAATCACTGGATTGGGATTCTCAACATTTCTAAAATTGCTTCTGGACTCTTGGAATTATCATGAGGAAAACCCAGCCTAGCCTTCCGTGGGTTCCAGGAATAAAACCCAAACTTTTCCAGGAGATTTTGGGTGGGGAAAATCCTGGAAAAAATAGAATTTTCTCATTTTTCTCTCTCTTCCCATTTTTTTCTTTTCCCAAGATGCCAGGAGGATCCCAAACCATCCGGAAAGGCCACAGAGGAGTGGATTCCACAGGGGAGACCACCTACAAAAAGGTAAATTCACACCTCTTTTCTCTTTTCCCAAAGAATTTTGCCCAAGATCACAGTGGGAACGGGAGGAGATCCCATGGAAATGACGGAAAAACGGATTTTTTTTGGCTTTTTTCTGATTTTAATTGCCATTGAATTCCTCCTGTTCCCACTGAATTCTGTCTGTTCCTGTTGAATCCTTCGCATTCCCACTGAGTTCCCATTCCCACTGAGCTCCCGTTACCATTCCCATCAAATCTCTCCCATTCCCATCCAATTTTTCCTGTTCCTGCTGTACCACGGCCATTCCCAGCCCCATTCCCACTGTAGTTCCCACTGCTGCTGTAATTCCCGTTCCCAGCTCCATTCCCAATCCCACCTCCGTTCCTACTGCGATCCCATCTTTCCCATTCCTGCTGTAACCCCTGTCCAGTCCCATTCCCATTCCCGTTCCCGTTGTAACCCCGTTCCCGTTCCCAGACCACGTCGTCGGCGCTGAAGGGCGCCATCCAGCTGGGCATCACCTACACCGTGGGCAGCCTGAGCACCAAGCCCGAGCGCGACGTGCTCATGCAGGACTTCTACGTCGTGGAGAGCATCTTCTTCCCCAGGTGGGCGCTGCCGGGGCGCTCCGGGGCCAGCCCGCCTCCGGAATGTCCCATCCCTTCAGTCCCATCCCATCCCTTCAGTCCCATCCCGTCCCTTCCCATCCCATCCCATCCCATCCCATCCCATCCCATCCCATCCCATCCCATCCCATCCCATCCCATCCCATCCCATCCCATCCCATCCCATCCCACCCCATGGATCCCATCCCACCCCATGGACCCCACCCCACGGATCCCATCCGGAACGTTCCGTGTCCCCGCAGCGAGGGCAGCAACCTGACCCCCGCCCACCACTACAACGATTTCCGCTTCAAGACCTACGCGCCCGTGGCCTTCCGCTACTTCCGGGAGCTCTTCGGGATCCGCCCCGACGACTACCTGGTGAGCTGGGGCCGAATTCCCTTTTCCTGTTTTATTTTCCCTTTTTCTTTCCCTGGAATTCCCTTTTCCTGTTTTATTTTCCCTTTTTCCTTCCCTGGAATTCCCTTTCCCTTTTCCCCTTTTCCCTTCCCTGTAATTTCCTTTTCCTTCCCCTTTTCCCTTCCCTGGAATTTCCTTTTCCTTTTCTGTTTTCCCTTTTTCCTTCTCTGGACTTCCTTGAAATTCTCTTTTCCCCCTTTCCCAGCCTGTTGCCAGCCCAACCCCAGACCATTCCCAGCCCAATCCCATCCCATTTTCGCCCCAATCCCCATCCCCATTCCCGATCTCCGTTCCCAATTCCCGATCCCCGTTCCCAACGCGCTGTCCCCGCAGTGCTCGCTCTGCAGCGAGCCCCTGATCGAGCTCTCCAACTCGGGCGCCAGCGGCTCGCTCTTCTACGTCTCCAGCGACGACGAGTTCATCATCAAAACCGTGCAGCACAAGGAGGCCGAGTTCCTGCAGAAGCTCCTGCCCGGCTACTACATGGTGAGAGCTCAGGAATGCCGGGAATCCCCCGGGAAATCCCCGGGAATTCCGGGAAATCCCCTCAAACTCCTTCACATCGCTCGGCCTTGGGCTGATGGCTCTGGGTTGGGGCCCTTTCCAAGCCCAAAACACCAGGAATCCATGGAAAACCCCCAACAATCCATGGAAAACCCCAAAAACCCACAGAGCAGAAGTAGAAATTGTAGAAATTTTAGTAGACGTTTCTGTAGAAATTTTAGTAG